ACTTTAGATAGTATTGGCATCTTAACAGCATGAAGTCTTCCAGTCCATTTATACAGGATGTCTTTCCATTTATTGGTGCCTTCTTTAATTTCTCAGTAGCATTTTATAGTTTTCAGTGTACAAGACTTTTGTGTCTTTGGTTAGGTCTGAATTTTCAAATTGTTCACTGAATGATGGGCTAATGTGATTTTCATTATCCAATATAATGGACATACAGAAACGTGCGTAGGTTATTTGTTTATTGTTAATAACTATAACGTGAATCATCATGTACCTACCATACAGATCAACAGACCATTGTGCAGACCTCCCGTAACACCTGACTCTCCTCAGAGATGCTCCTGATCACCCCTAAGAGAAAGCCACTGCCTAGTGTCTCCCACACTCTGCTCTTAATTCTGCCTTCACCCTTGATTCTGTTGAATTTAGCTCCTTGTGATGTATTTGGAATATAGATTACTTATAAGAAAAGCAACATGGTCTAGTGCCGAAATAGGAAAATTTCATTTGAATAACCCCTCAAGAATTTATTCATCTTTTCATTCAGTAAATTTTTTTGAGTAGCACTGTTGTTTCAGGTATTGCATTTGCAGTTGTGAACAGAAAGTAACATTTGAACAAAGTAAAAGTAACGTGGACAGTATATGTATCTGTCATATATTCAAAAGTTAATGAGGGGAAAAATTTTTAAGGAGCCAGCTTATTCTGTGGAGAGAGATTGCCATAGAGGGGGGCAATCTCTGCCTGAAATGCAGCCTTGAAGGAGGCATGTGAAGGCTGAGGGGTGGTAGTCCAGATAGAGGGACAGGACATAGATCAGGGCTGTGTGGACAGGATTATGAGGTTGAAGAATGACAGATCTTAGTGGCTGATGGGATGAGAAGAAAGAAGACGCCACAGGGTGGAAGGTGGGGGTCCTTTGTCAGAGGAGGGCTCGGCCAGCTTGCAGGAGGGAATGCAGAAGTTTGGCGTTGACATGCCTGAGGCACCAAGAGACCCTCCATTAGAATGACTGGGGTGGCTGGATGTTTAGATGAATCTGGACCTAGAGAGTCTGGGATGGACCTAGAAAGTTGGTGAGTAAGGAATGGTGCAGACCTTTCAGGAAGAGCAATCGAAGTGAGATAGAAGAAAGGCATGGAGAGAAACCTAGGGGACACCGTGATGTTGGTGGGTGGAGGACAAGCAGCTGGAGGAGGGATGGTCTGAGGACCACCAGTGGGGAGACTGCAGAAGCCCCGGGAGGGGCGAGTGGGAGGAGGAGGAGCAGCTAAGAGCTGCACCTTTCTGCGTCTGAACACATTCCTCCTTCCTATCCCCTCCGTCTCAGTTAGTTTTGTCTCAAATGGTACAATACAATGACAGCACCATAAACGTCTATTATATTTGAATACAGACCAGCCTGGATGCACTGGAAAGGCCCTCTGGGAGCTGGTGATGGAAGGGATCATTGGAAAGGTGGTGCTGAGGCACAGCAGGGGTCCAAAGGGGAATCTGAACAGTGGATATTCTTACCCTACACTCTTGGGAAGCTGCCTTAGCTGGCGTCGTGATAGCTATAATAAAAATAAGAGTTATATCCCATTTGCTAAGTCTTGGCACAGAATGGCGAAGGGGCATGAACTAGTGCGGTCAGCCCCTTGTGAGTGCTTGGCACCATGCCCACTCCAGGGGCAAGGACAGGGGTGCCTGTCTGCCACATTCAGTGGTGAAGCCAGGGCTTGATTTCAGAACAAGCATCAAAAATAAAAGGTATCTTTGACTACATAAAAATGCGTAACTTCTCTATACCGCCCCCCACACACACACACCCGCCATCAACAAAGCCGAAAGACAACCGACAGGCTTCAAAACAATACACGGGACAGGTTAATATACTGTATACTAAATACACTTAATCAATATGAGGAAGACCAACATGCCAGTGAAGTCACATAAGTAGAAATATCAGTAAAAGTATAAAAGATAAAAGATGCTCAGTTTTTGCAGCAAACAAAGAAATGGAAACTGAAACAAGGCGCCCTTTCCAGCATCAGTGAGAATAAAGGGAAACAGCATGTGCTGCAGTTGGAAGCAAACTTTCTGGGGGTACTTTGGTAATACTAATTCAAAAATTTTACATTTAAATGATCCTTTCATTGTTCATTTCCACTGCCAGGAATTGATCCAAGGGAAATCAGGGAGCACGTGTACCAAGAAAAAGGTACAGAGGAGCAAGACACTGTCTCAGTTTTAACCAGAAGTCAACCATTAACAGAGCTGCCTTTTAGCAAGTCATCCAAAGGATGACCAGGCGACCCACAGGGAAGACACAGACCACGTTTATGGACATAGGACGGTAACAACAGCTGTCTTTTAAGAACACTTAATGCCAAGGCAGCTCACAACTGCTGTAAGTGCCCCACTGTGTCCACACTTGACACATACAGAAAAGCACCCAAGGCTCAGAGAGGGCAAGCAACTTGCTCAGTCACCAGCGAGTGAGTGGCAAAACAGGGCTGGACTTGGGTCTGTCTTAAGTTGTATCAATTAAAGTGAAAACAGGCTATAAAACAAGTTTTTCATGGCCCCATGTTTAGAAACATTGAGTTTAGAAGTGCTGAGAAAAATCAACACAGTGCTCACCAATGACGGTCTAGTCAGATGCTGGCCACAGAACTAGTTCTCCTAACATAACAATGAATCAGGCAAGAGCAGGTTTAATGTTCTTGTCAGTTATTTATTACTTGTCATTCTAAAGACTAGCACATTTACAGCATACATGGCTTTGAATGAGCTAAGAATATATAAAACAGTAACTGTATGTTATATATATTAATACTGCCCAAAACAAATAAATAAAAGTACTTTAATGCACTAAGTGTGGCAAATACAATTGTGGAGGGACAAAACTATTATACAACATTTGTACATTTTAAAAGGAAACCAAAGGCAAATGCCACCAGACACTGACAGAATCCACATCACATCCCAGGTCTTCAGTGGGACTCAACATTTCTTTTGAAGTGGGGGCCTTATAAGGGACACTGGACAGAACCTCTGCTTTTCAGTAACCTGTAAACTATGCTGGACAGCTGTGAAGTCTCTCGCTCGCAGGTGCTGCGGGGCCGCTGGCCACAGGGCAGACGGCTTGGTGCTGGGCGAGTGCTGATGCCCTTGGAGTGGCCCAGACACAGCACCAAAACCGAACAGTTCCTACGTGACTAGCTTATATATATTAATACTGCCCAAAACAAATAAATAAAAGTACTTTAATGCACTAAGTGTGGCAAATACAATTGTGGAGGGACAAAACTATTATACAACATTTGTACATTTTAAAAGGAAACCAAAGGCAAATGCCACCAGACACTGACAGAATCCACATCACATCCCAGGTCTTCAGTGGGACTCAACATTTCTTTTGAAGTGGGGGCCTTATAAGGGACACTGGACAGAACCTCTGCTTTTCAGTAACCTGTAAACTATGCTGGACAGCTGTGAAGTCTCTCGCTCGCAGGTGCTGCGGGGCCGCTGGCCACAGGGCAGACGGCTTGGTGCTGGGCGAGTGCTGATGCCCTTGGAGTGGCCCAGACACAGCACCAAAACCGAACAGTTCCTACGTGACTAGCCAAGACTCAGGGTTTTACAGGGACCCATGGATGAAGCCAAAACTGGGAAAGAGCTCATGTAAAGGTGCTACATGCAAAGCTGCTAGCAGATGACAGCATTTGCGATATTCCCTTTTGGTAAATGCAGGTATTTAATGCTCTTCAGATGAAAAAAACAACTGAAAACAATATGGGTAACATTTAATTTAAAAAGACAAAGGGAATTTTTAAGGAGGTAGTGATTAAAATGAGGAAAGATGGAAGTATACAGATGTTAAAAAAATTACACGAAATGGTGGAGAGGTGAAAGGCAGAACTGGCCATACTAGAACTGCCTTCAAACAGGGGCTGACAGCCAGAGAATCTGACACCAGCTGCTGCCATCACCTCAGCAATTTCCTGGACAAGTGTTTCTTGCTTTGCCCTCCACGGTGGAGCCAGTAGCCAGGGAGGGACAGGAGCTGCACCATCCCACAGGGACAAGTCCCCCACACCAGTCACACTCTACAGTGGGACTTCTCCGCACAGCAGGCACCAGTGGCAGTGGAAGCACGGAGGCTCTGTCTGCACACTGACAGAATTCTGAGTAGGAAGGGGTCCGGAGGGCCATCCAGCTCACCCCTCACCTGATGCCCACCCACTCTCTATCCCTGCCAAGGGGTGGGCTTGTCCCTGCCTCAGGCCCACATTTGTTACATCTCCAAGTGGCATTTCTCATGGAGCCCAAGAAATAATATCTAGAATTTTAGATGTAGGGATTTCCTAAAGGTTCACAAATCATTAGGATCAGCATCATGAATGTGTGCCACATGTATTTCTTATACAGCTTTTTAAATAATATGTAAACATAATAATCATGATAAACAGAATTGATAAAACATATAAACTAAGAAAAAAAACCTCTGCTCTGTGCAGATAAGACTCATCATCATCTAATAACAGATGACCAGACATAATTTTCTATCAAATTCCTAAGTTTTATGGCCCATTAATCCCTTTCAAAATCTCATTTTAGGAGATAGTTTCAACATTCTCAGTAGTTATCTTACATAACAGAATGAGAAGAGGACAGTAACAGTTACTGCAAACCTAAGACAAGAGACGTTCATCAGACTCAAACATGACTGCATTGTCTTTTAGAAGACAAGAAGCCGGGAAACCCACAAAAGGACATCTGTCCTGAAAGTATCCAGGCTTCCACTAGCAGCCGCATAAATCCCTTCTGCTGTCTGCAAGGCATCAGACATCCCACACACAAGGCCCTGGGGTGGGGACAACCCCACATCCGGAGGAGGGGAGGCGTGCAGGGGGCACTGGACGGGAGCTTCAGAGAAGAGCAGGCAGCCGGCTTCACCTTCTCCAGCAGACACCCTGCCCGCCATCTCCCATGTGGGGGTGTCTTTGCTGATGTGATCAGCTAAGAGTTTTAGCTCAGGCTGATTTAGCAACCTTTACTTCAATTTCAGGTTTCACCCATGGTATCAGGATACTTCCTTAGAACCACTGGCTGTCACTGCAGGAGCCAGAGCTAGCTTCTTTCCCAGAACTGGAGTAAACATTTAACGTTGATTGCTCTGCTCAAGATCCATTTATTTAACATATGATTTACTGTTTCACATACATTCAGATTTTTAAAAAGTAGATTGAAATTCAATGCTTAATTCTGAGTTACTCAGTAGAAAAATATGCTAAGTGAGCAGCTGCCTAAGTGGGCATTTAAAAAAGTCCTTTAGCGTTTCAGACATACCTAGCTTGGTTCACGTAGGTAACTGTGGGTGGTACCTGTGTGGTTACGCTGAAGGCTATTTAAAGGGGCAGTGGTTACTAGCCACGCTACCGAGCCACACATTACCTCCTACTGATTTCGACCGAAAAAAACATGTTCCATAGACTCTTAAGTGAATTGTTTTTTAAAACACAAAAATAAAAACCAATCCTTCAGGTCTTCTTGAAGAATTCATATACGCCACTAGAGGGTACCCACATTAATTATGTAACAGCTAATTAGAGGAAACCGTGTGTTCATGTTTCAACTTTGCCGTAAGTCCCTTCGGGAGGCCTGTAATGCTTGGGGAAAGCCTTCAGCTGCAGGGAATTAAACGCATATTTGCGACTTCCAACATTCTTCATTGTATTTTCTCTTCGACAACCCTCACTGGGGAAAAAACAAGCACAAGAAATGACAGCAGTAAAAAAGGAAAAAAGAAAAGACTTAAACTAAGATGAAATGAACTGATTATATTCATAGCGTTAAAAAAAAAGGTTGATTAATTTACATGGGTGCTGGACTCATTTACAACAATACACACATAAGATGGCGGGGTTCTGAACAAGGCAGTTAAGAAGCACAGAGACGGACACAAGCTTATGGGACTGCGGGATTCGCATTTCCAAAAGCAGCGCTGTATCTATGCGCAAGCAAACTTTTTTTTAAGCTAATGGTTTTATGTATTTCATGTCTAGTTATTTGAGGGTTCTGTCCTAACCAGGGGTTCAAAGGTTCTGTTAAATAGCAAATTAAATGGAAAAAGAAATAACGTGCTTACCAAAGACATTTAAGAGCTGCCTTTAAGCCATTAATGAACCTCAAATTCAAAAATGCTGATTTTCCTTGGAGAATTCAACATGTAGCAAAGCCAGCCATCTGGCTGAGAAGTCTACTCTAACACACCACCTCCGCATAGGTGACAGCTGTCCTGGGTGCAGAGCAATCGAGGAGGCCTAATGGACAGCTGCACAATGAGTGCATGGCCAGCAGGGCTGGAGTACTGTAAAGGGCTGGCCCCACCCAGGTCTGGCGGCAGCCAGCCACTTCTCCAAGGTGGGCTGTCCTCGTTTGTAGTTACCTCTCTCTAGAGAGCCACTGAGCCAGGGACAGCCCACAGGTGCCCTTCCCCCGAGAACCTGAGTCCCCTGCTGCATTTGCTGGAGGGTTGTCATGGCAACCCCGTGGGCACAAGCCAATGCTGAACAGGAGGAGGAGGAGGAGCCATCAGGCAGGCCTCGCATCCCCCAAGGAGTGCATCAGGAGGGTTCTCTGGGCAATGTTCTGGTGCAGACATCAAATTAACAAAAGTGATCCTAAATATAATGACTTCCGGCAGCACAGTATAACTTTGTATTTTTATATTATTCTAAGACTATATTATTCTAAGATCAATTAGTATCAAATTTAGTACAAAATCCCCTTATGAGATGTAAAATTTGCAGTTACCAAGAAACAGTGATTTAAAAAAAAACATTTCAAATTGTATGAAGACCATTATGTCATGCATTTTAAAAAAATATCAGTGGCATTTGCTCAAGCCTCTAAAGTGAAAATGATTTTATCTCATTATCAAGAACATGTAAAATATTTTGAGTAAGACAGTGATTTTATTCAAAAGATAAGCTCAGGAATTTTAGAAAAGCATCCACCTGCTTGTTATTAAGCAGTTTAGCGACTCATGTTTTCTTGTCACCAGAGCCTGAAGCCCTCAGCTAGATGCATGTCATCTGAGCTCAACGCCTCGACCGTTCGGCAAGGAGCCTCTAGGATAAACAATGATCACGTTTGTTTGACATCCAATGCTCAGATTAAAAATATAATTCCATTTTAAGCAGAAGCTAGGTTCCCATGCACAGTTTGTCCTGTTGACTCTAGAAGTTACTGGACTCTTCAGATGTGGCTTCTCCATATATAGAGAGATATACCCACTTCTCAAAAACTGTCTGTCACTACTAATGTCAAACTGCTTTGAGCAGCAAAGAAGAAGAGTTTGTGAACATTGACATTATCTTTTATTTACACCTTAAATTAGGTAATTACTGGTTTAGTTGGCTGAATGCAGTATACATGAAATTAGAATCAAGATTACACTTTCAACTTAATTTTTAAGGAAAATTTGAATTTGAATTTACAAAATGTGTCCACTGAGGCTACTCTGGTGCCAACACTGTCACTGCATGTGCAGACAGGCTCGGCCCCCGGGCCGGGGTGGGCAAGCCGTGGAAACCGGCCTCCCGCTGCGGGGCCAGCCTGCGTCCTAAGCAGGGCACTTGTGGCGGTCGCACTGGCTGGGCCGTTTTTAGGGGTCAGTAACATACACTGAGAAGGTCTTGGACAGACTTCGAAAGAGGGATTTAATTGTTTCAAAACTATGTGATTATTTTTTATTATATCCATAAATTATTTCTTTTCAAGGACACCCATTATTTAAATGAAAACTGAGAATGGAGGCCCACCTGACACCTAATTGTAGGGATGCCTGGCTTTCCCCCTCGGCGGGCATCATCCACGCTTCGGTGCCTGAGTGACCCTGCACGTCTACTCAGTCTCAGCACCAGCATCACCTTACAGGACCTGAACACCATTGCCAGACAGCAATGACTCCCTTCTTGAATCATCTTCCCATCTTTGTTTCATGCTGCCTATTTCTTACTAAAGCAGAAAAGACTGTGGATATATACTTAGCCTGATTTCACAAGGAAAAAGCATTAGGGATATTAAAACAGCACAAAGGGCAAGTGGACCAGGTCTCCTCTCTTAGATATCCTAAAGAAAAACAACTACAACCAACAGCCTATGCTGATCTCATGGTGCACTCTTTCAAGCCAGGCCTAAGGACTGTAGTGCCAAAATGGAGTGCCTTTTGACCCAGCTCCGAGAGAGAAAAATAAAGAACTTTATCCTCTCCCCCTGCCACCCATTTCTCCCTCAACCTAGCAGCCAAACCCACATGGAGCAGAAAGGCCTGGCCGGCACCAGGGCAGCCGAGGGGCAGGCCGGGGTGCCCATGGGGCCCCCGGAGGGCCTCCCCTAGCTGGCTGCAAGGCGGCCCTGGGAGGAGCCTCTGGAGAGTGTCACAGAAGCACCCCCGGGCCCAGAGAGGAGGGGGCAGCGCTGTCTAGTCAGAGGGCCTCCCTCCTCCGAGCACAGTCTCCACCCTGACAGCAGGAGGATGCCAGCAGGTGCCACCCCCCGGGGGCATGAGAAGCACGTTGAACAGAGCAGGGCCTGTGGACTCTACTACTTTTAAATCAAATAAACATAATGATCTTAGTGGACACATAGCTCAACGTGAAGGCAGGCGAATGGGGAGTGCATCTCCCTAAGAACCACAGACTTGGACAGGCCTCGTCTAGTGACTGACGTCATGCTGCTGCGACTCAACATCGCCAGCCCCTTGGCATTCAGTGAGAGGCTCCCCACGGAGGCACCCCAGGAGCTGTGCCCCAGGGCAGCCACCGCCCTTGTCCGAGAAAAGACAGAGTGAACCGGATCCACCTGCAGGCGTGCCACCTGCCCTGGGCCCTGCCGTGTTCAGGAGGGCTAGGCAACAAGGACATCTTGGGGTGTGAGGAGGACAGCCTTCCGTTTATTAGTTTGGTCTGAGTCTGACATTTGTCCTTTACTGCCAAGTGCTTCTACAGTTCCCAGAACCCGGACTCAGATCTGACACCAAACCAGAGAAATCCCAGAATAAATTCTGACATCTTGGGGAAGAGCCACAGAGGCCAGATCTTGTAGTGGACTGGGTTTCTGTGCATGCATGGGTGTGATGCTTCCTAAAAAGACAGCTTCTCTAAATCCACTCCAGTTTTCTAGACTGGTAAAAAGAAATCCACTTTCATAACATTCAGTGCACAGGGAACCAGCTAGAGGTAAAAGGAAGCACAATACAATTTGAACTAGAAAACAGAGAAGCCCCTGAATATTTCTCATACAGGGTCTGTGGAACTTTACCCTAATTTATTGTTACCTTTACAGGTGCACAGTTACCCTTCTGACAAATGTGAGTGTTACAAGTCATGCCATTTTATGGACATGTACTTAAAATTAAGAGTGATAATAGCAGGAACCAAAGCAACTCTTCCTCTCAGCTCCATGTGGCTCAACTGTCCAAAAGTTAGATCTCATTTTTTTTATCATATTTCTTTGCCTTCTTTTTTCATTATTAACCACATTTGATTTGTAAAAGAGAAAAGATGTCTGGACTTTAAAATCTGAAATTAAAGATGCAAGTTTTGAGATGAAAAACGCTATTTCAAGAAGAATAAATGTATCTAACTTTTAACAGCCTTTTGTTACTATATGCATTTCCTGAATCAGTTTTAATGATCCTTAAAGATTTAATAGAGTAAACCTAAAGTCACATGCGATATGTTATTTTTTTTTTGTGCCTGACTTGGTACAATGTGCAATTGTACCACAGCTTTGTGTCATCTCAAGTCGGAAAGAATAAACATAAGGAAATGTTATGATTCTGCAAACTGTTTGCTACTATAATTTGAGGGACTACGCTTTGAAATGAAAGCAGAAAGTACATGTCCTATTAAATAGGTTTTTCTAGGTGAGCCAGTTACAAAACATCTATCCTTTTCTTTTCATTTCTCTTCAAAAGGAAAGAAAGGTTAGCAGTACAGTTAAATAGTAGTATCAAATATACAAATTCTTTTCAGACAGATTTCCTTTCTCTTGGAAACAGGGCAAAGGAGATATACAGGTAATAAATAGTTTTACATCAGAAAGTAAGAGATTTGGTACAAGTAATTCCAGGCCGGCTAAACAATGCAGTAACCGGGTGCTGTAAGAACATCTTACAAGCACTGAAAACTCTGCAGAATTTAAATGATCAATACCTCTCAGTGAAATAATTGGCAGATATTTACAGTTCAGAACAAAATACATCAAACTGTAAGGCATGAGATAGTTCTTGGTGGAACACGCTCTGACACACTCCTTCTGTCCAGTTAGGTACACGGTGGCTGGACGGATTCTGGCACTTTTGTTTTTCTTGTGACTTATTATGAATATTTCGTAATGATAATCATTTGCAACGCAATTTGGTCACCAGGTATGCTATGCTCAGGAAGAGCCACACAATCAGTAAATTGGGGCTCAGAGCTAATAAGGGGATGGAACAGAGGAGGCTGGGATCTAGTCTTAAGTCTCGGATGGGCGCCAGGCCACTCAAGTTCTTCTGGGTGACTACCTCCCGTGTTCCAATGCTGTGAAAAGGAAAAGGTTTGGGAGAAAGGAAAAGAAAAGAGGAAAGGAAATAAAGAAAAAAGAGGGACACATGCAATGGATTTTATCAAAAGTGTGGAAAAAAGAGGAGAACCAAAAGATAAGATTAAAAAAAAAATGGAATGAAGCCTCAACAAAAGAAAAGATGATATGCAGGAAAGGGTGTAAAAGGAATAACAAAACAAAACCAGCACAGTTACAAGAAGAAAGGAGAGAAAGAGAAGTGAAAATAAGAAAAAATACTGTAGTCTACTGAAAACGAACACATGTAGGTTGACTAAATGGTTTTCCATGTTCTCTCTCGGCTGGCCAAGCTGGAGTGCATGCTGCCCCACCACGCTCTCACATGCTGCGACAACATGGTTCAGAAAGCAAGCTGAACATGAAGAACCATTGGGGGCTTTGGCCGTCTCACACATGCCTGAACAGGGGAGGTGCAGCGGGTTTGAACAAAGCTGCCTCTTGATGAACCATTCCAGCCACACCACTGTTCTAAGGAGCGCCCACGCGCAGCCTCACCACACCCGCCCTGGTCCCAGGTTAAGCAGCGGCAGGGCAGAAGTGCCTACTGTCTCCACCTGCTCCAGGTATTGTCTACATGATGATCCCCAAGAATGAAATCCAACCAAACTCACACCAGAAATTTAGGATCGTTTCCCCTTTTGGTAGGACAGAAGAAATGCACGGAGGTGAGACGGCTCTTGCGCCATGTCCTCTCTGCATGTCCACCAAAGTGGCAATGGTGACACAAAGCAGAGCTGCCTGGATACAGGAGATGGCCTGTGAGGACACGGTGGAGATGGGTAGGCAGGAGGGCCAGGGCTCCTGGTTCAAGCCAAGTCCTCCTGGGTTTTCCTAGTGGAACCTGGAAGCCTGGGAATGGCCCTGCTGGGAATGTCCCATCGTGATGGGAGTACTTTCCATGCTGCAAGCACTGGACTGTCACGTCCCCAGCCAGGGCAGTCTGGAGAGGGGGGTCACTGTGGCTCTTAGGAAGGCACACTCCTGTCATTTCAGGCCCTGGATCAGGGATGAGGAGCTGGAACTGGCGTGGACAGCGCAAGAGCCAAGTCCACATGACTCTTCCTACTCCGTGTCCCATGGTGTCCCACTGGTAGGTTCAAATAGGCTCCAGTGGGAGTATTTATGCCGCAGAAACTGGCAAATGCTATAGATCAGGGCTTTTTTGCTTGTGCAGACAGAGAGCTGATGGTTGAACATTTGCTAGCACAGCACTGCCACTACTCAGCCTGGGCTCCAGAAAGTAGACAGCCGGAGTGTCAGCACTGCCCCTCCCCACACCCAGCTCTTCTCACCCCACACCCGGCCTGCATGCTCTACTCCTCTGTCTGGTAAGATGCAAGCAGAAAGCAAGAGGACCAAAATGCATTCCTGCACTCCAGGGTGTGGCCAGTATCTCCTGCTGCATCCTCAGGGCTCTCGGCTAAAACACAGGTCCTGGCCCCACTGCAGCCAGAACACTGGCTAGTGATGCTGCCATCCAGGCTTCTGCTCTATGAACAGATACAAGTCTTCCCCTTGTGGGGGAAGTCAGGTGTGAGCAGCACGATATGAGAGCCTGCGAGGCTGCACGGTCAGGTGGACAAGGCAGCAGAGGGCACAGTGCCCGGGGCTGGTGCCACGAGGGTTCTGGGACCACAGAGGAGAAGTGGGATTGAGTGGTGTTTTTTAAAAACTTCTTAAATGATTATAAAGGTAATACATATTCACTGCAGAGATTTTAGAAAATTCAGAAAACCATAAATTAAGAAACTTGAAAAAAACATCCATGATTGGAGGTGGGTGGGGGGTTCAGAGAGGCAGAGGGAGGCCGGAGATGCGCCTGTTCCCACAGAGGACAGTCCCTTTCTGAGATACAGGAAAACAACCCAACTTCACAGCCCGGCAGGCGCTCAGGGGAGCGACAGGGAGGTGAGCAGGCACTGAGCGGGGTGGAGCGTGCCCGGTATGGGAGCCATCTGCCGGTATCTCTTAAAGCCCTTACGCAGGTGTGTGCTTTCTAACCTGAGGAACCAAGGGGCAAATGCGAACAGGAGGTACATAGGGACACTCACTGCTGAAAAGGCACACACGGCGTGAATCTGCAGTGACGGCAAAGTGGTATACTGAAAATGAGATGGTCTGTATTTATAGGCCTGAAAAAATGCCCACAGGACAGTAAAATGAAAAAAACAGGCTACAGTGGTAGGCAGGACTGTACATGTAACTGCATTTGTTTGTGCATGCATGTATTCTGTATTGTGTATTATTCAGGGACTGGTCAACCAAGGTGTGGATTAACCGTGCTTATGCCCGCACATACATGTTCTGAAAGAGTAGGTATCTGGAGGTTGGCACTGTTACTTGCTCACAACAGGAACACAAGAGTTTTTTGTGGTGTGTGTGGGGAGTGTATGTGTTAAGAACAACTGGTGTAAGGGCTTATCCACATTTTCTGATTTTCCTACATGTAATATCAGTTACGTATATGGCAGAGGGTGGAAGAAGTCCTCTGTGGGCTGTCTGCACAGCAGCTGCTCTGCGCACGTGTGGGTACTGCACACACAACCTGCTGGCGGGCCACCAGCCAGAGATGCGGGGCTCTCTAAGGAGCACTTTCTCCCTGATCTCCTGAGACCTGGTGCTCACGCGCACTCACACGAATTGTTGTTCTCAATCAACTTGTTCAAGAAGCTAAGACTGGCCAGAGGTCTGCACATCCACCATACACCTAACTGAGGGCCTGGTCTTCTGAATGGACCTGACCCTGACATTTGGTCTGACAACCACAGGTCTTCCTCCTCCATTTTTCTTGTTTCTTTGCTGGCAAGGGCCTGCATTCCACCTGGGCAGCTAACGGCACAGAAGTGGCTGGAAGCCCAGGTCCCATCACCCCCACAGCACCAGCGCCCCTGAGCCTGGAGGGCTGGAGGACTCTGTGAGGACAGGTCCTTAGACAGCAGAGCAAAGGCAGGGCCCCTGAGCCTCCACTGCTTCCCTGAGGCGAAGGGCAGGGAGGTGGTGAACTTCCTAAGAAAGCATAAGCAGGCGGCCCTGAAATAACAGATTCTGATGAACTTGGAAAGACAAAACAAGGACAAAATAGTTCCGGTTTAACAAAATGCTATCATCAAGAGGCAGGAGCCAGGCATCGCTTTTGTGCATTATTGTGAGACGGTCAAAAGGCAGAAACATACAGAAAGGATAAGAGAATTGAACGCTTTAAAGAATTTGGTGAGAGGACAAATGATGCAGAACATTCAGTAGGAGTGACTGTTGGAGATGAGACTGTAACAGCATTGGTGACTACATTGAGGAAGACGGGAAAAGCAGGTTTCTTATCCTTTCTTTCAGTATGTGAGGTAAGGTGCTCCCCAGCAGTGCTTGGAACAAGGCATCGATCAACAGCAGACAGTTTAGTCCCGGATTTCATCTGCAAACACGCCTGCTGCCTCAGAATCAGAACGTCATCAGGGTGAGGTGGCCATGGCACACGGACAGGTGGGAGGGGTGCTACCGTTACCAGAAAACACTCATCTGACACTTGCTCATAAAGCGAACTGTGTCCACCGCTAGAGAAGAAGCGGAGCAACCAGTGCAACCTGCAGACGCGCCCGCTTCCCTCAGGTTTTCAGAGACGAGCAAGAGGCAAATGGCAGGTGCCTGCTGGGGGCACTCGGCCCTGAGGCGGGCCCAACAGGCCGGGGGCACGGGAAGGCTGGCGTCGCCACCTCCGCTCAGCTGCGTGAGCTCCCACGTGACTCTGACCCCTAAGCAGCAGAGTCTCTCACCTTCCGGCCATCCTGCCAAGGGGACTGCTAGCTCTTTTGTGTCCCCCTTGACTGAGAACACTGTCTCAATTTGATAGTGCCAATAGTTTGACTTTGTAGACATCCATCTAGAACTTTCCAGAGCCAAGCCAGAGCCTGGCTGCCGCGTCCGGGGCTGGCAGGGAGCCCGGGGCAGTGCGGGCCGGCTAGTCTGCAGTTTGCACGGCGCCGGGCGGCGGGGGCGACGGACTCACCTGCGCATGCACTCCAGGGCCTGCGTGAAGACCTGCGGGGCCATGCCATGCTCATGCTGCAGAATCAAGCACTGCTCCAGCGTCACCGACATGGCTGTGCGGTCCTTGGCGCTCTTGCAGCTGGTGAACCGGACCCCGTTAAGGCGGCGGCAGATCTACCAAGAGGAACACAAGACTGCTTAAGAGATCACCTGCAGACTGGAGATACCCCAGCCACAGGACAGAGGCCCCGGAGGGCAGGAGGGCATGTGGGGACACCCAGCTCCCCAGACCCAGTGACAGACTGCCTGTGGGACCGCCGCTCCTGCTGGCCTCCTCCCACAGGCAGCCCTCCGTCCAGGCTCCCTTCCTGTCTGAGGCATGTCCCTCTGCTCGCTGACCTCACCAGCTACCCTCCTCCAAACTCCGCCTGGACCGTCTGGTCATGGTCAACCCTTTGCTGCCAGGCCCTTGAGGGGGACAGGCAGTGAGGGATGGGGGCAGGTCAGAGCAGCTCACAGGACACCCAACCCCTGTGAGCCCAGCCACAGGTCTCTAGCCTTTCTGGGAGGCTGGGCACAGACCCACTGGTCTCCACTGGTCTCCACTCCCCTCCTCCCCTGCACAGAGGGGAACAGCTCAGAAGACTCACTTCCCTCCCGACCACCAGGCCCTGCAGGCTCGTCTACCATCCTCCACCTTACTCAGGGCTCCCGCGTGAGATTAGGTGCCAACGTGCCTCCCCCAATAGCTCGTGGGGCAGGGCAGCCTCCCAGCTGAGAAAAGGCCACCTCAGGGCACCTCCTCACCCCACAGGAAGGGCATCTGGGGGGATTTCCTCTGTACCTCTGGGTACAATCCTAGCTACACACACAATCTCCAAGTCCAGAAAGCCCTAAAACAAAAGTTCTTTTTTTTCCTCTAAGTTTGGGGCAAACTCATTTGGCAGCCCAACCAGATTTGAGCTGATGTGAGGCTATTAATAATCTTTATTTATCCCATTTTGTATAAATATTCATACATTTCAGTGAAGCAATGAGTTTGATTCCAGACTCCCCTGGGGATGTTTAATCACATGTGTGCCACGTGACACCCAGGTGATGTACACCAAACTAGACACATGTGCACCACCTGTACACCTTATCACCTTCCTAAAACAGGGAAGCTTGTGAATTCCTAATTGGCCACAGGAACTTCAGGCAAGAGCCTGGAGACCTGCACCAGATACCACACGAGACCACCACTAGTATTTAACAAAAAATCACCCAAGCTAGAGACGGCGGGCTCCAGCAATGTGCTGCACTCCAGAAAACTCGGAGAGCCACTGCAGACTGCCCCAAGCACAGCACCATAACCACTTCTCAGGCCAGCAAACCCAGAATGCACGGCCACAACTGGGGATGCTGCTAGAGAGCTAGCACATGTAGTGCTGAGCACTGGCTCCAGGGGAGGCCAAGACATGTTCAGCTGAGACCATCATGAGGAGGATGGGCTTCTCTTGAGAACACACAAAAATATTTTTAAAAGAAACAAACAAAGAAGACCCTAAGCAGCCCCTAAGCTTGGTGAAGAGTGATTACATCCAAGTTTCTCAGATTATCACCGACAGAGCAAGGATGAATGTCCACTAAATTCCACAGGCTGTGGCGTTCATGACCCAGACACATGGCATGAGTTGGAACTACAAACAGGTTCAGAGAAAGTTTACATTCACAGATGGCGCATCCAGGGCTAACACGAGGTCCCAGAAGGAAGGCCGGGGTGGCCAGAGGTGCATCCTTGCCCAGGAAGGCGGTTTGCAGTGCCAGGCTCCCTTCTCCAGGGGGCCATCTAACAGCTTTGGGGCTCAGGCTGGTCTCCCCATCCCTGAAATGAGGGGTTAGACCTGACTAATGATATTCCAACTGTGGCCAGGGACCCCTTGTTCATGCACAAACATGAAAATAAGTAGGATCCAGAAAAAGAGGGCAGCTCTGGTCAAACTGAGGACGAGAGGGTTTGGTGCCTGAGCAGTTTGTCTCTGCCACCCCGACACCCACCTGCCCCCAGCACATCCCCAATGGACAATATGGGAACTGACATGCCCAAGGGTCCCTTTCACCTCTGAATCTGTGCTTTTAAACCATGGGGCTCTGCTAGTAATAAAAAAATATGAGGCTGGATGCACTGATTTTTTGACCTGGTTACAGAGGATAGTCAACCCTCCTAGAGTTGATGATTTTTCCTATCATATAGCAAGAGAAAAACAGAACCACAGTTGCTAAACAAGCTATACACAGGTCTCTGCTTCTGGCCTTGTCCGAAAAGCCATTTGTGTGTTTGTCTAAGTTGAGTAAACTAGTGGCTGCCTGCCTTGTGCCACTGTAGAGGGATTGGCTGTGTCAGAAAGTCTTGCTCTTTGAAGTTTTGCAAAGGTACCTGTGTAAGAGGCTTGTCTCAGTCAGCCCAACGGTGTTTTGCAGCCTCCAAAAAAAAGCATGAAAAGGAAGTAGGGGAGCTTCTCCATCTGCAGAGTATGGGCCTGAGGGCCCTGCTGCAGAGGCACCCCGGCTTGCAGGAGCCCCACCCCGTGCCTGATTTGCTGGTGCAGCCTGAGCAAGAATGGGCAGATGAGAACCAGGAGGATACTTGAAAAATGAGGCCTGTGAACCCCACTGAGTTTCCCGTCACTTGGAGCTTCTGTTGTAAAAAGATCCCAGGGGCAGCCTGGCCCAGAAAGGGGAGATCCTCAGGCTGACCCACCCCACAATTTCAGGAGGGTACAGTCTTGCCAGCCGAGGCACCTGAAAGCTAAGTGAAGAGATGAACAAAGGGGAATGCTCATCTTTAAAGCTTCTTTCCACAGAAAGCCATTAAACTGCAGAGTGGCATGTTCCCAGGGCCCTCACACACAGGCTTCAACAGACCACCCAATGGCTGGCCAGAACATGACCAGCGGAGGCCGGTTGCTGCAGTGGAAGAGGCTCGGGGTTGGGAGAAATTCTTTCCTGACAAGAACGCTAAAGCTCCAGAATGAGCAGCTCTGGGAAGCCACGGGCTCTGTGCACCAGGGCAGTGGTCCAGCTGCAAGCGGCAGGGGAGTGCAGCCCCAGGGCAGAGGGGCGCCTCCATCCTCCCCTGCACTCAGGCCAGGCAAGCACAGAATGCTGCCGGGGTCCCTGAGCCCGAGTCTGTGTGCCAGTCCCAGTGCTGCCTGAACAGGGTGTGTGGACAAGCTGTGAACTACTGGGACCCCCAGGCTCAGAGCTGTGACTTGAGCTCCAGCAGCAAATCTGTGAGAAAATACTTGAAGTGTGAGTACTTGGGAAAAGAGGAGCTGCAAACTGTGATGCACGGTAAACACTGCTCAGGGACTGTAAAGGCTACCATGGCCTCCTTTGAACCTGTTAAGCAATGCAGTAGGCAGTGGGTTTTAGCTGGTATCCACTGTGCAAACTTCTGAAGTTAACAACTGTCATGAGTCTGGTTCTTAAATGCCCCAGGGGCTGGACTCAGTGTCAAGCTTACAAGAATTCAGGCTGCCCTGAAGTAATGGACTCACAGGCACCTGTCAGTATCTTCCAGAGTTTGGGACATACTCAGTGACTTTTTCTGCGCACCTGGAGGAATTTGTCCTGTCCACCCCCAGCTGAGATTGTGATTTGTAATTATTATTATTATGGGCAGCAGGCACACGACCACCCTCTTCCTCACTGTGATGAGCACCTCGGCAGCTTGCCAGAGAATGTCAACGTTCTTATTCTTCCGAGCATGCACGTTCTGACCCAGAAAGCGCAGCAACTCCGGCAGGCACGTCTGGCTCCGAGACCGAGGCAGGCCTGGAAGAGAGGGGGAGCCATAAGCGCTGGGACAGTACCCAGGACCTCGGGCCAGAGACACTGCTGCAGCTCGGAAATGACAAGATGACGAGTCCCGGTGGGAGCTGGAAGGTCAATGGGATTAAGCAAGAAAGGAAGGTGTGTTTAGGGATGGGACCTGGTGACCAGTATGGCCATTGTCCTGCACACAGTGTTGTCCACCACGGAAGGCCTCCATGTCATCCCATGCAGCTGGCCACATGGTGACAGGCCTGCCCCTCATCACAAAGGCCATGGGGACCTGGGCTGTACCTGTGCCCCCAGCCCCGCTCCTCTGCCTGTCAGTGCCCACAGGTGTTGCACCAGCTCTCTAGCGACCTCATCCCGCGCAGGCCCTCCCCTCTGCCTGCCACACCCTCCCCTTGCTCACTCCCAGCTCCATCTTCAGGGGGCCACCAAGGAGCTGACAGTCAGTCCGAATGCTCCTCACCCCGCTGACATGGCTGGGTCAAAGTCAGAGAAAACAGCACCATCGGGCATCTCACAGCCTCACCCTCATCCACCAGCAGCTCGCACAGCTCTCCCCCACCCCCACCCAATCAGCACACTTGTCGATTCTAGACAAATTCTTGAAGGGCAACTTTTCCACACTCCTTCTCCACTGAAACCACTAAGCTTCTACCCCTCAGCCTGGCCCCCAAGGTCTCTTCAAACCTGTCTCTCCTAACAGGATGGCCTCACCAGCTGTCTGAGCACACAGGTCTCCAGCCAGGCCAACCCCTTTCTCCATGTGGACAATGGGTAATGACCACCTTGGAGGGCTGTTGTGGGGGTTCACTGTGGAAATGGGTGTGCTGTGTGGCTCAGCGCTAGACACATCAGTGACCCACAAGTGTGATGGAAGTCCTTCTACACCTTCCCTCTTTGTGACCCCATTAGAGGATGGGTGGGGTTCTGGCCCCTTGCCCTTGCGGGCTCCTGGCAGCTGGAGCAGGGCCAGCATTTGGAGGCCCAGCGCTCCTCTATCTGGCCTTCCCTCCCAGGCAGGGTCTCCCCCTTATACATCACAGGGTCCTGAGGTGCTTTGTACTTGTGCTGAGTAAAAATATGTGCTGGGTTGAGTTCAGGAGAGATTCCCCACATACAGACAGTACAGGGGGCCCTGGGTTCTGCCTGAGTTCAGGGCGGTGGCATCTCCACTGTGTAGGCAGAGTGACAGCTGCTGTCACCTCTCCACTGCTTCCAGGGACAACCAACATCTGCCCAGCATCTTACTCTAGGCACCATGGAGGGGGTGCATGGGGTGCTCACACCAGGAGGGGGCAAGCCCACCCCCAGGCCAAGCAGGAGTCCTGCCTCTGGGAAAACCCCCAAATGCAAATGCATCAACAGACACCAGTGACAGGCAGTGTGGCAGAGAAGGCCCACAGTGTGTACAGGAGAAGAGAACCTACTGGAAAGAGGTCAGCGAGGACTGCAGCAGAGGGAAGCTCCTCTGGGTGAGGACGCAGGCCTGGCTGTGCCCAAGCAGGTGGACAGGCTGCCTTGGGGGCAGGGAAGCTAGAGGGAAGAGTGAGCCGGGGGCAGCCTCCAGAAGGCTATAAGCAGACAGCTGGAGCAGCAGGAAGGGTTCAGACACCCAAAGTGACAAAAGACAAAGGTGAGAAAGAAACCTGCCACACTGAAGAAATACTTACAGTCCTCAGGCAGAACTTCCTTAAACTGCTCGAAGTAGGAATTTAACCGCACCAAACTTTCCATGTTGATAACTTCTTGTAAAGATGTGTCACCAAACCTTTGGAGATCATGAGATATCATTAGTTGGCTGATGTCACTTTCTTCTAGCATGAATATCACTGCATTAAACTGCATTAAATCACTAACAACGTAACTCTCTCACACGCCACGTCCATCTAATTCCCCTCAAGCACCAGGTCATCTCTACCCCACTGGTGACAAGTTCAAGCACACCTCACCAGCAGGAAGCAGGCACACTTGTTACAGACGTGCCTAGGACATCATCAGAACTACGCATCCCAACCCTCACGCAGCACAGAACAGAAGAACAGAACCCCCTCCCAGCTCCAGATGGGAGCCCCTATGTCCTCTCACCCCAAAGGTGCTGAGAAGAGGGGATAGCGGTGGGGCTAAGGCTGAGGAGGGAGGACGCGGTCCAATGTGTGAATCTGAAGCTGCTCTCTGCCCGCGGGACCACTGGGCCTGAGCAGCCACTCCTCCTGGACTGTGAGGCGCCAGCCTTTGCTCACCATGCGGGGCCTCCCAGACAGCCAGGGTGTGCCAGAAGCGTAAGGGGGAGACAGAGGAGAGCCTCCCCAGAGGAAGGCACAGGCGTCATTAACACATGCCGGCTCTATAGTCCAAGGCCTGGACGCCCAGTCTAGCTCCGCCACTTCCCTGGTGAGTACCCTCCCTGCACAGCAGCCTCGTCATGGTCCCATGTCACTCTGAGGGGGCAGGACCTCCAGCGGGCCCACCATAGCCCTCTGCCTTGATGTCCACGTCTTCTCCTCTAGGTACCTGCTCCATCGGGGTGGCCCAGGGACATGAGCGAGCCAGCCCTGTCTATGAGGTGAGGAGAGACTGTCCCAGGAGCAAAGTAAAGACACTGCACCCTACCAGCCTCCCCACTGTTCCACACCCTCCTCCACCTGCCCCTGTGCTCCCTGCCATCTGGCCTCACTCAGCCTTTTCCAGAAACTGCTCCTGCCGAGTCGTCAAGAACAGCAGCTGTCAGGTGCTGGGAATGTTTCAATGCCCAGGGACTCCTTCCTGCTGGGCCCTCAATGCCATCCACTGTCCCTAAAGAGGGTGCCTCCAGCTGTGCTTGCACCCAGGGGTCTCAGCTTGCTGGGCTGGTGCCCCCAGCCTAGGAAAGCTCTCCTTCTGCCCCTGAGCATGCCCCTCTGTCTGGCTACTGAGCTCAGCAGGTGGAGGCACCTCTCCATAACTACGGATCCAGAAGCCTGGGCCTATTACTCTCCTGTGCAGCCTGCCCAGCTGAAGACCAGATCTACTTCTCCACTAAAGTAGTTCTCCAGTCTGTCCCCCACCTCATCTCCTGATCAGGTCCTTTGGCCTGGACTCTTCCTAACAATGGCCTTCATCATCAAACTTGTTCCCCTCATGTCTGCCCATGTGATCACATGGCCAGCAAGTGATCTATTTAAGATGTCAATCTGATCATATCCTGCCCTGCCAGAAGTTCTGTGATGTCACCCAGCAGCCGCACCACATTTGCCAAGTGGGGGTGACCCTTTATCTAGGGGTCAATGGATTTGACTATTGGGTTCTAAAAACCCAAGAGGAATAAGGCATATCATCCTAGAGACAAAATTGCCTTAACAGCAAGTACTTTAAGATACCTTGTTGTTCTAAAATACGCGTATCACATGAATAATAAAATAGGAAAGCAATTTACCTACTAGTGGCAGGTCATTATAGGCTACACACACCTGCCACCTCCCCTGCAGCGCACACACACGCACAAAGGTTTGGACATATGGCACATGTGACTCCTCCCTGCTGCTTGGCAGAGGATCCTGGAGGGAGTTATAAGGTGCAGGCCTTTAGAGTCAAGGCACACCTCTTAGGCTGGCACGCAGGCCTCTCTAACCTCACCACTGCCCCCCCCTCAACTGCCCGGGACCTGGGCCTAAGGATCACCCCAACTCCAAGCTTGGTTTTTCCTCAGGCTTCTTGGCCTGGGTCACCAGGTCTTACTTCCCCTCATCTGACCTCCTCCTACTTATTCTTCAAAACCCACTTCAACCATCACCCCAACTAGGAAGTCCTCACAGACCCTCCCAGACCTCATTAGGGCCTCTAACCTCTGCATTTAGCTTCATCTTTGCACCCATATCTCTTTCTCAACAGCCCAAGTCTCTTGAGGACACAGCCCATGCCTGATTCATCCTTGTAATCTCAGCACCAAAGATAGGTTCGGGCCTACAGCTGCACCTAAACAATGTTAGCCAAATGAAGGCAGGAATGACAGAGTCCACACAGTCCTCAGCCTGAAGGGGGCTAAGTAAATCTTCTATATCATCTCCACAACCACCCCAGCCACTGCAGGCCCCAAGGCCAGGCAGGCACCTCTCTGCCAGCGTCTGCTGCTCGTTGATGCCCACATTGAAGAGGACGGGCTGCACGCGCAGCAGCATGCCGCTCTGGATCTCCCGGGGCAGGGCGTCGAACAGGGGGCCCGGCAGAGGGATCCGCACATTAAACCCGTCCCTGGACAACAGAGAAGAGACAGCATGTGGGGAGAGGAAAACCAGTATGAGAGTGTGCACTGGCTCAGTGATTTCTAAAACACTGGTCGTGTACCTTTAAAGGAGTTTGAAATTAGCATAGAGCACTGTGATCAGCATTTTTAACTGAATGAAATGGAATAAAATAAAATTCACATGTGCACCACATGTAATGAACATAAATTAGAACACTGTGCTAGTTCTGAGAATTAAAAAATATGTCTACCGATTTCCCGTGATGACCGGCAACATGTCAGTCGATGCACTGGAAGTGGCCTGAGTGACTTTGAAGGTCACGTTCCTCAAGTCCATGATTCCGAGGCTCATGTCCTCCAGCATGGCCAGCTCCTCACCTAAATACACAGCAGGGAAGGAGGGCTGTCAGGTGGAGGGGACATGCCCCTCTGCGAGTGGACGCTGCACGGGCACAGGGCTGGGGCATAGATGGAAGGTGACGAGATGAGGTGTGGCTGTGGTATGAGGGGCCAAGAGGCTAGGCAGGAGCCTCTCCAAGCTTCTGCACTGGGCGACTCCCGTCTTTGAGAGTAAACACTGCTACTGAGTCCCATGGCCACATTAAAAAGGCAGCTGGTGCAAATATGCACCATACTTCCTAGCCATTTCCTGGTGAAGGAAGTGTGGGCTGGAAACCAACATGCACGGGTCTTCAGAAGGTAAAGCTGGCTCTTCAGTAAAATGGCATGTTGTGGCCACACACTTCTATTCACAAGGCCTGATATTTATTTGATATCTTACAATCCCAAGAATTAACAAATACTTTTTCAAAACTATCCATTTTTACTTTCTCAGAAGAAATAAAAATAAAGTTAGGGTAAGGAGAAGAAGTCTTTATAGAGGGCAATTTGGATATGTCTATGAAAATATTCCTACCACTTGACCCAGCAACTTCCCTTCTGAGAAGGCGGGGTGGCCGAAACAGGCCCCTAGGCCCACACAGACTTGTGTGCCGAGATGAACTGCGACTGTGTTAACAGGAGCCACTGAGAAACAGTAAATGTCCCACAGGAAGTTATTGCTTAAATAATTATCATCCCTTCTCAACAAGAAAAACCATTAAGATGGAACAACAAGAAAAGTAAGCAGGGCATGAGTTGTAACTGTCTGGGACTTTTTATTTGCATCTTTGTTACACATTTTGGTGATGTTTGGATTACTAGAATGTATTGCTGGTGTAGCCAGAACAATACTCCGGGAAGAGGGGGTCACAGCTGTCACTGGCGCTGCCCACGAGCCCCAGGACCCCGGGCCGAGGGAGCAGGGGGCCCTGCATCTCACCGTAGGTGCTCAGCAGGCTCTCAAACTGGGCGAGCAGCCCGATGGTGTAGAGCTGCCGCAGGAAGCCGTCGTCATGCAGGCAGTTCCTCAGCTTGATGATGAAGCCACAGATGAGGGCGGTCAGCTGTGGGAAACATGCTGGGTAGGGGCTGGCCGGGGACAGACGCCGCCTCACCCATGGGCAGTCGGGCTTCGGCGGCACCACCTCTCCCTCACAGGGCCGGGGGGCATCTGGCTCCAGGGCCACAAAGAACACGCAGCATTCCAGGTTTCCTGCTTCCGTTGCTCCCGAGGCCAGTTTGATTTTGGCTCCACCTCTGACCTGACCTGCCTGGGGTTACTCCTGGCCTGGAACCTTCTGGAAGCCCAGAATTAATTGCCCACAGTGAAAGGGTCTTCATGCTCACTGATCCATCCCAGCTCTGAATGGAAACTCAGGTGACCATGACAAAGACCAGAAAGGAGAGACCATGGTCACTCTGCAAGTTTCCCCCATGGGACACCCTCTGTGGGACGGAGCAGGCCTCACAGGGACAGGAGGGAGAAAGACAAAGGACCAGCCTGACCCTCTGGCACTGTCCACTCAGCTTATCTGGTTAAAGCATCTGTCAAGCCTGTGGCATTCATTTCTAGCCTTCCCTTCTCAGGAGGATAATGATCATCAGAACACGGTTGTGCACAAGTGGCAGAACTAGGTACCTGCTGTTTCACCAACAAGAACGGACTGCCTTGAGAGCACAGTCCTGCACCTCCTGAACTCCTTTGTAGGAAGTAAAGTGGCAAAGAGGCCTGTGCCACCTGCAGCCCCACACTGCTGTGCAGGAGCAACAGGCACACACATGCATTACTGCCAGCTCTTCAGGGAGAAACAAGTGTGGAATAAGACCCTCTCCTAAAGGTCCTCCAAGTTGCAATCTAGACCTCCCTGCTGTATAAATTTAAATGCAGCAGGCAGGAGAAAATATTGCCATGTGTGGTTTGTTTGATGTGAAGTGAGAGGGCACAAGGCTTCCTAAGCCCGTCTCCCCGAGTGGGAGGTGCCACGGGCTCCAGCCTTACCGTCTGGCAGAAGACCACGTCGCGGCGGTACTGCAGGCTCAGGTATGTGGCTATGGTGGGAGCGCTGTCCTGCATGAGCAGGAAGACCATCGCCTTCTTGGCCTTGTCACTCATCATGGCCACGCAGTCCGTGAGGGTCGTCAGCAGCGGGTAAAGAGCCTCACTCCATTCTCCTGGGCATGAGGGAAGGAGTCACTTCAGAAGGAAGGTTTTAGGTAGGTTCTGGAAGGGTAACAAGTTTCACATTCCCTAGACCCCAAACTGCCCTCTCACTCCCCCTCTGTCCACCCTTCTGCACCTTATAACTCTGCCTGGCTCACACTCAGGCCCAGAACTGGCACCAAGTTCTACCTGGAACCAACCCAGTCTCTAGCCTTCTAGCCTGAAGCTCCTCCAATAAACTCAAACATCAGTTCTACTGTGGGACCGCTGACACACACCTGGTCTCCCGATCCTACTGGGGATTCTGCACAAAATATGCCAGACTTTCCTTTTAGGGGAAACAACAGAAAAGCATCTGCAAGTCCTGACTAAGCACAAAAATTATCCTGCATGCAGAGGCCAATCCCCTCCCACAGCCCCCATACCACACGGGGAGACAGGGCACCCAGGACAGTGACCTGCCATCTTGCTTCTCTTGACCAGGTGTAAAGGCAGAGACCCCTGTCCTTCTAGAGCAAAGAACAAGTCTACCCCCGGGTAGCCTCTGTGCAGCTACGTTACACCCCGACGCTCCATGTCTGGAGCAGGGCCCCTCCACAGGGCTCCCGCACTCTCAGCTCTCTGCATGTCCCGCCCTTTAGCATTCACTTTCTTCCCACCCGGCCTCACTGCTTGGTGGCCTCTATTTCTAGTTTAGTTTTCTTTTAGGGATAAAAGGAAAGTTTGATCCTGTACCAAAACAACTAAAAACAGAACCTCAGGGGAAACAAAGTGAAAGATATTTTTGGTTTTGGCTCTTTGTCCCTCCCTGTTTAGAAGACCTTTAAAAGGGAAAAGACATGCCCTCATCAGTTATATTTTTAACAGGTCACTGAGCCCAGACACAGGCATTTGACCATCACCACTGAGCCACACGTGGCAGGGGCAGCAGAGAGAAGGACAAGGTGCAAGTCCCAGTGTCCCGGACATCAAGCCACCACCCTTGGGGAAGGCCGCAGGGCCCTGTGAGGCTCTTATGTAAACAGAACCTAATACAGAGAGAAGGGAGACATGGCTCTGCTTTCTCAAACTGTATGCCTAGCATTTGTTGAGAAACAAATTTAGAAAAATGTGCAAAAGGACTTCCCTATACTCAGCATTTGGTTAACACAGATTTCTAAGTATATGTAATAATTCAAAATTTGGAAATGATCTAACTGTACATGCAAGCACACTGTATGTGGAGAAGGATTTATATCTGTAATGAGAAAAGCAGGCTTAAATTTAGAAAGTCTATAGCAGAAAGGTCTTAGCAAATAAATCACGGGGACAAAGAACGCTGGACTGGGGTATGGAAAATACGAGTCCGAGGCCCTGGCTGCTGCTGAGCAGCAGTGGGCCTGGGGCAGGTCTTCCAATCCCACAGCCACACGGGTCCTTTTCTGTAAGATGGGACAGCTATACTAGACAACACCAAGTCTCTTTCTTCCTCTAAAAACTTCACAGACCATGGTTTAGTTTCTTTGAAAAACTGCTGAATGCATGCCGATTATATTCATCAACTATCCAGAAAGGCCAATGGCAACTAAGTTTTAATAGCCAAAGAGGTTGGGGAAAGGTGGGCAGGCATTAAGACTGTTTTTCACTGAGAAGCAAATGCTCTTAGAGCAAATGTTACTCATTTTACTTCACTCTACCACTTAACATGCATAGACATATGTAATTAACATGCAAATTATGATCATGTTAACCTGAAAATGATCTCATTTGAGATAGCGGTACTGACTAAGTAAGCCCTCTCTGTACAATAGTTTTTTACTTTGCCCACTTTCAAAAAAACCCGTAAACTCAGAATTAGGGCAGTCTGCATTTAGGAGGAAAAAACAACATTGAACAGGCTGGAGTATAGGGGAATGGCTAGAAAGCAGTTGGAGCTTTTCCAGGGGAAGGGATGTGGACCTGGGTGGGAGGTGGGTCTGCCATCTGCCCAGAGAAGGCCTCAGCAGGTCTGGATGAGTCAATCAGAGCGCCAGCCACCATTTACACAACACCTATCAGTGCTTTACTTCATAACTGTTCTCTCATTTAGTTTAGTCCACAGAGATAGGATTATCATGACAGTTTCAGAAAGGTTAAGAGTCTTCCCAGACACTCAAAAAGCAGCAGCATCTGTATGTATGTCTAACTGGTTCCAAACTCCACTTTGATCATGTCAGGCTGCTTCTGCTGAGCAGAGGGGGAATGGGGGTGGAGGGGATAATACATTTGGGTCAATATGAAGAGAAACTAAAGTTAAAAGTTTACAAACAAAATGAATTTGAGGACAGTAATGGGATTTCTACCAGAACCCAGCTAAGTAAAAGATGATAGCTGCGTTAGGGTTGGCGAAGGGTTATACACTGCTTCTTCAGTGAGAAAAGTCTTGCTATGAAAAACCCAGCTTGACTGGACAGCATCCTTAGGGATGTAGTGGACTCCCCTTTTGGGGGCAGGCTCCTATCTAGTTGCTAACCTGTTGGCACCTGCTGACTGGACCAGCCCCTGAGCACTCCACACTATGGGGAACTGGGAAGGGCTTTCAAACCATATTGTGCTTTTGCATTTTTTTTTCCTCCTGAACAGGGAAAGGAGGAAAGGGGGGAGGGAGGGAGAATGAGCAAGAAAATGTGTATTTTAATCCACAGTTACGGTTCTGTGGGAAAAGCCAAAGGAACTCCTGGCAGGGGACAATACCGTTATAGTGCATTAGACATCAACTGTGGCGAACCACCAGTGCTTCTGTAAATGATGCAGCTGACAGAAACAAGGAGGGTCCTACAAGCCAGGCGTGGTCTGTGTGCTGCTGGAAACCCACCAGACTTCCCATTAGCTCTACAAACTGCAGGAACCCCTGGGCATCTCTGGGGTGGGCTCATGAAGCTGCCCCCCCACCCCGACTTCCTCGTCCTGACTGCTGGGTGTGGTCCTGGTGTCTCCACCACTGGGGTTCTGGGGACATCAGCTCAGCAGGAAGGCACTGGGAGTCAAGCTGGGAGGTCTGGAAGCCCAGGGACAGACATGAAGGAGAAAGAGAAGGCACAGGCCAGGAAAGGCAGTGGAGAGGAAGGGACAAAATTATCTCTCTCAGTAACTACCAAGGCCTCAGTGACCCCGAGGATCCACGGAGGCTGAGTTTGGAGACCTCGCACTGACTTTTTGGGAGAGACAAACTGTGAAGGGCCGAAAGCAAATTGAGGGGCTTATGTACCCAATCAGATTAGACTGCTGACAAGCTAACTTTGAATGGGGCACTGGGGGGTTACTGCCAGGAGTCACCACCAAAAGCTAAGCTGAAGTCACGGTGCTGTGTGAGCTAAGGGGAGCTGCCAGCTGACGGGACAGTTTGGTAAACCCCACAATCCCCAGTTTGCTACACTCCAGGTATAAAGCAGGTGTCCTGCTATCTCATATTTACATCCAGTTGAAACTATGTAATCATCAGACTGATTATGGAGCTGGTTTTGGGAGTATAAGAAAAAAAAGTCCTATCTTTGGGGGTCTCCTGTTCACTCTGAGAAAACCACAAGTCCTATCTGGGAAACTCAATACGAACTAGAGCAGGGTCAGCACACTTTTTCTGTAAAGACTAGGTAATAAATATCCTAGGCTTTGAAGGCCCTGGGGTCTGTGTCACAACTACTCGCCTCTAGCACTGCTCCACAAAAGCAGCCACAGACATCAGGGGAATGAATGGGTGTGACAAGTTTCCAACAGACCATTGCTTAGAAGAGCAGGCAGTGGATAGGATTTGGCTCAGAGCCACAGTCTGCCAACCCCTGAACTAGAACCATAAACACTGATTTCTACATGCAAATACAGGATAAAAAAATTTATTTCTAGTGCTAACTCCAACTGAGGCCCATAGCAATGCCTGAAAAGAATTCTAAAGTTATATCCAGATTCAGAAGACAGGATGTTGTATGATGGCAAATGTTGCAGCATTTGGGCGGTTACAGACCTTTCAAGTAAAGCTCCCAAGTTCAGGTGAAATCACAGAAAGTGACATTTGCAAATATGTGCCTCTGTAAATCAGGTTACCCACTTTTGAAAGCCCAATGCACTCATGGACATTAATCATCTGAAAAAGTTTTAGGATGGGAAAAATTGCATGTGGTAAGTCTGCTTTAGGCCACAGTCCCCAGACCAACTGCTCCCTCACCAAACCTAAGAAAAGTTGCTACATGCCTCAAATGAAGAAATTCCTAAACTAGGTTCCTAACTCTGGGAGCACAAAGTAATCTTTGATAATTTAGCCACAAACGCTACCTGAGTGTTACAAAGACAGCTGCAGAAGCCTTCAACGGAAACCACGTACCTGGGCTGGACTCGTCTGGAGGGGGGCTGCAATCTGCACAGAAATGGAGGGCGACATGGATGATTAAGGAGCGCACACAGTTCAGACACAAACAACTCAATACTCCAAGCAACTGCATCAGCAGCTTGCAGCCAGATGGCTAACTGCACGGAGAAGAGGTCGGAGGCCTGCCTGCTTCCTCCCCAAGAAGGCACACGAAGGGCAGCCAAGCCCCTGGTGGTGCACACTGCCTCTTTCACCGGCACAGACATTCATGCTACTAGACTTCCACAAAAAAATGCTCTTCACATATGACAATGTGATAATGTGCCCACATGGATCACATTGTATGTGGAAGAGCCCTGTGTGTCAGCTCACAACATCTGGAAGCAAACGGGTAACGAGAGAGACTGACCAGTAACGTGAGCATCCGCAGTTCTGAGCCCGTGGCCCCAACTCACGACTGGGTCCTGGGCTGAATGCTGACTGCTCAGATCCAAAAGCTTAGGATCCAGGGGTGAAACCAATATACCAAACAACATCTATGCCAACTGTTAAAATTTAAACTAAATATAAACGTTTATGATTTGGGCAAAGTCTAGAATTAGAATTGCCCCTCCAGGTCCACAAACAACACCAATTTAATTCACTGAGTCACATTTCCGTGACTGAAGTACTCATTTCAATTTCACACTTCCCTTAAAACCCTGATTTTTCAATTTCACATTTCCCTTAAAAACCTGGTTAACTGGGTGTGCCAACTGAAAGAAAACAAGTTTGAAAAGGGATCATTTGGAATAAAAGTTTATTTACTTTTATGTCTAAATTTTGTGGTTCAAAGACTGTCTTCAGGATACTGAAATGAGTGGTTTCAGATCCCCATGAATAGCTGGAACCAGATTTATGGAGACGTTTACAAACTGGGTTGTCCAGAAGAGGGTGGCAAGGGATCCTTTCTCTCTAATCATGTTTGGCAATGACTTCTTAAACTGGCAAAGGGGACAGAAATAGAGCAGAATTAAAGGCCTCTAGTAGTTGAAGACTTCAACCTCTCATTAGAGCCCAAATACCTGAGACTATCTACCTACCAAAGAAGAAACCACAGTGTGGAGTGAGGCAGTGTCCTAAACACCTGTCCAGCTAATGAGAACTACTGCAGACCCTGAAAAAACACAGATTTCTGCCTCTCAGTAACCCTTCCTCCAAGATTCCAAGTCTGAATGAGGAGGCAGGTCTAGAAGTCTGCTTTAATGACCTTCTATGGGGATCCCCAACAGCTGAGTTGGGCATTCCTGAGAAGGCAACAGGGTTAAACCCCACTGGGTGAATTCAATATTTCAATCAAAATGAAGAGAAGGGAATCCCTTTTGGTGCTCCTGGACCAGCGCTGGGCTTATAATTTGTCTTAGGTCATGGAGGGCCTTGAGATTTGATGATCAGTATGGACTCTCTCTCATTTAAGCACATAATTTCAGGGGCACACAAACCTGGGGTACAACCCATAGACCCCAGGTTAAGAACACCCTGGTCTGGGGTCTGAACGACTCTTCACGGATGACGAGAGGAGAACAGCGTATTCACGAAAGGTAAGGCGAGCCACCAAATCCTGGCAGGTTGGGGGAGGGGTGCAGGAGGCCTGTAAGGCACTTGTGGGGAAAACTAGGAGGAGAGAGAGGCTCACGGAGACTCTGCGGGTCCAGAGGGCAGCGACTTGTCAGTAGGTCCTGCGAAGTCCTGGCCTTGGGTCACCCCACCGGCCAGGCAAGGCTCTGAGCAGCTCTTCAGGAGGGTGAGCTGAGAGGCAGGCCCACTCCCTGGGTGAAAGGTGAGAACCAAGGACCCAGGACAGGGTAGACAACTGAAATGAAAACTGATGATGCCTTCCCAAGAGGCACGGAGTTGTTCATGTATGATAAATAAGCTGGTGTGAACACAACCTGCCCATAAAGCCAAAATAAGTGCCCAAGGGAACTGGAATGGCATCAGCAGTCATGACAGAGCCAAGCACTGGCCCTGGAGGGTGAGAAACTGAGTAAAATAAATGGTTCACAGTCTGATGCTTTCTCATGCCAAAGTCTGAATAGCTCCCTGGCTATGCTCAAGATTTTTAAATTAAGGATCCCCTGTAGTTAATTTAGTGGCATATGGTTTCATACGTTTCTCTGAGTACTGATCAGCAGAGTTAGACTCTCTCAGACGTAAGCTTCATATTCCCATGAGTGCAACAGACATGATGTGTATGACACACACAATTACAAGTCATGCCCTAGATACCATAAATAAATGCTCATTTAAATAACTTTAAAACTATATTTAAATTTGTCTATATTTGAACAATACAGGATGTATCTAGAAAAAAATGACATCTATGTTATGGATATAACAGAATATCTGATTAAATAATCTATCTCCTGCATTTAAAAAAAATTCAACAAATTACTTTTTAAATATGCAGAAAAATGTTACGATCACAAGCAAGACAATATTAAACAGAAACAAGCAATGAACTTTCAGAAAATTTTGCTTTTAAAGCACAATTTACATTAAAAAATTAGAACACAGAGACAAAATAGCTCCATGAACCAATCACAGGTTTGGGTAACTGAAACTATACCCCTACACAGATGGAAGAGTGGAAGACATAAACACTGTTGAATCAAAGACTCAAGTGAAACAGTGCCCTGGAAACAGACTGCAGGCAGATCGGAAAGGTGAAGGGCAGCATACACATGAAGAAGGATCTGATCAAGAGGCTCTAATAAAAGAGCACAGTTCTGCCTTGGATGAAAGCAGCCCAATTCAGAAATTAGAAGTCCGCACAGTATGAAGCCTGACCCTGGCCCATCTGGGCCTTACTTACTGCCACTTGACACTGCCCAAAGGGGAGCAAAGAGGAGGCAGAGGCTAGGTCTGCAGCCAGAACCCCCTGAGTGGCAGGACCAAGGATTCACTCGTTTAGAAAGCACGTGTTCCCCAGCTTCAAGGCTTAGAAACAGGGCAGTGTCTGGTTATGTTCTGTGCCCTCACAGACAGAAGACTCTTTCTGAGGTGTGTTGCTTTACGCCAATGTCCTACCATCTACTGAGAGCCCCACATTGGAGGTGGTGCTGAACAGAGAAAGCTAACTTAGTCCCCAGAGGCACAGACTGGGGTCTACCATCTGGCTGAGTTAACAGTCCCAAGACAATGTGCCTCTGCCAGAAAAGACTGCCCAGCCACTGACAACCAGCCTTTAAAGAAGTCTACTGGGCCTGTTAACAGCTCTCACCCAGCTGCATCCCTGCATGACTCACCTTTTTCTTGACTGAACCAATTCCTAATGGAATGAACAATCTCATTAGAAAAGTATCTGCATTTTGGCTTCCTTCAGGTTCTCAGAATGATTTACAAGCCAGAGGAGCCCAGGAGCCCTACCTTCACTGATAGGGCCATGTGACCCTGGGGGGTCCCCAAGAATCTGCCTTTGCCAGACACACAGATTCACTCACAGACTCCACGGGCAGGAAGACTATGGAGCCTCACCCTCACTGCCTGCTGCTCCACACACTGCAACCCCCCACTCTACCTGACAGCCCTCCCTGCAGTCTGCGTGGGGGAGGAGGCCATGGTGTCAGAAACACAGACGGACAGACAGATGCAGCATGAGGTGGAGGCAGCATGAGTGGGAAGCATGGATGCATACGCACGTGTGCTCGGGTGAGGATGGCATGCAGCAGAGGGCACGGTGGAGGGGCATGGCGAGGAGGGCATGTCGCAGAAGGGGTCCTCTGGCCTGATCCAGTAGGCGTGGCTGTCCCGGTTACCTTTCCTGCTGGTGCAGCTGCCCGCACAGGGGAAGACGTCCTCACAGGCCTCACCATGCAGGCGCTCCCTCTGCAGCAGCTTGTCTACCCGCTGAATGATGCACTCCAAGCTCTTGTCAACATTCAGCCACACTTTCTCCTTCCAAACCAGAAAGGCCCGTTTGAGTCACCTCTCCCGAGGGTGAAAACAGAACAGAACACAAACCAAACCACCCCTGGCTGACCCCCAGCCCCAGGCTACCAGGCTTATTAAAATGTCACAAGATGTAGAAATATCAAATAATTCAGAATTCCCCATTAAAGCTGTATTTGTTTTTCATTAAGATAAATCAATGTCCTATAGTCACTGTTCTTAAAGTTTGGGAGATGTTCACTAGTAACTACCCTGGAGGTCACAGAGGACTTTCCCATGCCGTCCAGTGCTGGCAGAAGGGCTACATGGCCCAATGAGGCAGTCTTGTCCCCTCCTGCCTCTCTGCAGACCTCCCACAACCATCACACACAGAGGGGACCAAGGTTTCTTTTTGGATGGAGGAAAACAGAAGCAGCAGACCATTTAAGATGGGGGAGGTGGGGAGGAGGTAAAGGAGAGCTAGGAGCTATCTGCCGAAACCCACACACGGAGCGTACTATGCCAGAGCAGGGCTGGAGGGATGCCCTGCTGCTGCCTAACAATTCAGGACCTCACAGAACAATGCCTCTCAACACTACTCCCAACAAATGATAAAAACGAGTTGCATGGTAGGTTCCTCCCTCAGGAGGCACAGCCGAGCTCTCAGGGTCAGCTCCGTGGGACAGCAATGGATGCAGGGTCAGGGGCAGCATCTCCAAAACCCTCCCTGGTGGCCCCCACATCTGAGCCCCCATATCTCCACACAGATAAAGAGCCTTGGAAGAGCCAGCAGCCAGCAAAGCATTGGCCCAAGTAAGAGAGGCTTGGCTGCTCATTAGCACCAGAGGCAGAGTGGGCCCCAGGGCCAGCGAGAGAAGAGAGGCCTCTGGGAGGAGTAGGGTTCCATGGAGAAAATCGCCCCTTTATTACCTGGTCTGAGACTGGCTTATCTCACGGCAGCCCTGCTCCCCAGGTGGACATACAGTATGAAAATATTATCTCCCTTCCTACACCACGTGGTCCCAGAGCCATCCAGGAAGGGGACTTGGAACTTGTCTACAAACCAGCCAACCCTTGGGCATCTCCGTGGGGAAGTGGCTGGCAAGTGACTGGACTTCAACCCAAGCTCAGCAGCAGGCCAACAGCCATGAGCAGCAGACTCACCCACTCCTCCTCGTGCCAGTCCACCTGCAGAGAAGACCGGCTGTTCCTCCCCGTCCACCTGGCCATGAGGGTGTCCTGGTCGTTTCTAAGCATTACCTGCTCCTCCTCACTTGAGGTCGGGGAGGCCTTGGAGGCAATGTAGTCCGGCCGGGCCGCATTCAGCCCATGGATGGAGCTGGCCAGCAGCTTGCAGTCGCAGACGGTGACCAGCTGCCGCGTCTGCAGGCACACACAAACCCAGGCCACTGAGCCCCCAGCCAGGGCTGCATGGCCTGGCCTCTCAGAGAGCATGGGAGCAGGGCCGAGGCCCAGTTATGTGTCCTCCAGTGCAGACAACTCAAGAGCTGCAGCCCTCAGGATGTCTCAGTTTATAGGCTGCCACAAAATGGGCTGGGCTGAATCTTGAGAAATTCCCACAAGACTGATGAACTCAAGGAGAATGAGGGGAGGCAGAGAATCTCTGACATTCTTTGATCCCTTGCCTGCCTCTGGGCCTGGTCCTGCTGGAGGAGGGGCCTGAAGAGAGCGCAGGGCCCCAAACTTTGCTGACTCGCTGAGCTGTCCCCTCTAATTCCAGGGGGCAGGCCTTGTGCTGGTTCCATCACCAAAGCCTTTTTGCATCTTTTTACATCAAAGCCCTGGGCTCTGAACAGTGGGATTCCTGGCACAGCACTTCTGGTTCTGAGGAATTCTGGATGCAACAGGAGTTCTAGGGTTCTTAATTTTCCCACTGACAATATCAGGTTTTTTTCCCAAGTGGTTCTAATTCCCCAGCTCTCAGTCCTTCTGCTAGGTGAACACATGTGAAGGATATAACACATTCTAATCAGGAACAGCACCTCAGCCTAGCAGGGTGGGTGTGAATGAGGAAGTGTGATAATCTCTGTATGTGTGTGTATGCGGGCACGTGTGTGTGTCTGTTGAGAGTGATTTGAAAAAGCATCATCCATCAAAAGGAAGTGATGTATCCACTTCCCCAGGATGGACCAATATAAACAGATTTTTAATCAGGACCATATGACAGTTAATTAGTAGCTGGCTTACTGATTATATATAAGCCAATACAATTATATTTTTCTTATTGTACATCACCACATAATAACTTTTTCTTTTTTCAATTTCCAAGTCAACTGAAATGTGGTCAAAAAAGTACCGAGTAGGTGGATAGTTAAGAAAGCTGTAGATCCATCCCAGCCTTGACAATGACCCCCGGACTTGCTGGAACACATACCTGCATGAAGCAGCAGCTGAGAGTCAAAGCCCTAGACTCTGCCCTTGGCCTGCCCCCACCCAGCTCCATGACCACAGGCAAATCACCATCCCTCCCTGGGCCTTTGTGGGAACTGGACCTGAAGCTAGGTCTTTAAGGTCATTACAAAGTCACCCTTTGTGTGGATGGCTCTACGAACACACGGGCTGCCCAGGGATTTCAGGGAACCCAAGGGAGCCCCCCCATCCCTCGTCTAACAGGATACTCTCTCCTACCTTGTCTGCCAAGATAGCAAGTGTTCTTTCGAGGCCAGTGGCAGACCTATCCTTGGCCGCCCTCGAGAGCCGCTCTGCGTAGTAACTCACTTGGGTTTTCAGGGTATTGATCTGAGCAATTATCTCCTTGGCTCTGACAATGTCCTGTGGTATATAGATTATGGACTGGCAGCTGGATGAGGTACTAAAAAGGATAAGAACAGATTCTAAGGGTTCTCTCAAATTGATGAAGTTGGAAGCATCCTCCCAACCCCAGCCCCCAACCAGCACAAAATGAAGCTTTCTGGTACTAAGGATTTTTTCCTAGGCTGCTCTAGCTGGTGATGGACAGAAGTAAATCTCAGATCCTTTCTGTCTATATGGCAGAAGGCTTGAAATACTAAAATACAATTAAGTCTCTTATTTATATGTATTAATATTTTACCATGTGTATATACATGCGTGTACAGACACTGAACCCAGTATTTACCCAAAGGCTCATAACCTTTCACCTAAGAACCTCAATTTCTCAGCAGTATTTAAGGGGAGACATGGGACCTGCTTATACCAAAAAGGGCCCCTTTTTCAGTGAAAGGAAATGGCAGTGGTGCTGGAATTTGCCCAAAGAAACCTGTTTCTACACTTGGCTTGTCAGGACTCAAAGTCTCCACACACACCCACAGGTCTCCTCCCTCGCACATCTCCCAGCAAGTCCCCAAGAAACTGGGCTTCCTCCCCAGCGCCCCTGCTCCAGGACTTTCCCATTTTGAAATACAGTGTTCCATCGGATGAAAGGGAGGTAGAGAATATGCCAAGCCAGAGGCCAGGCCTGGGCACCTCACGGGTCTGAAAACCTGTTCTCCCTCCTTTCCTACCTTCCTACCACGAAGCAGCATGCATATCCCAGGCTCTGATGTTGAAGCTCCAGCCCAGCCCAGCCACTAACACCAGCCTCTGGATAGACAAGTCCACATCCCTGGCTATGTGGGGCCTGGCCGGCATGTTTGAGCCCTCCTGATGGAGATGATAAAGTGCATGGCTCTCAGCTAAGGTCTCAAATCAATCCAACATTATAGATTTCCTTCCAGGCTGTCTGAGGAAGCCAAGGGAAGCAGGGAGAAGCATCAGACACAGTGGAGATGTTTCCTCCCACAATGTGAAGTTGTAAGCTTGGCTATAATGAGTGCCCATCCTTCCTGTCATGATGGGCCCTGACTGGTCCTCTCAAAGAGCCTGTTCTTGGGGCTGGGGGAAAGAGGGAGAAGGTGGAAGACCACACACTCCATCAATCCCCCAGGACATGAGGGTCACACAGTCAGGGCCTGGGACTCTTCTCACTGGGCCCCTTCTCTGGTGACCCCAAGGTGAGTCACCAAGAAATTGCTCTGCCCTATCCCTGGACTATTAGGTAAACATGCAGAACCCAGACACCAAAGCTCCCCAGAAAGAAACACCCCAAGGCACACACCACAACCAAATGACAGATGTGCCAGAAGCCCATGCAACAGACCGCCACCCAGCCCGCGTGGAAGGACGTCATTTCACAGTACGGCGTGCACACAGCTACTTTCCAATCTGCAATCACTCTTCCAAATGAATAGCTGCCACTTAAGGTAATTCAGTGTTAAAAATACAATCTCTAAACGGAATTTGTAAAAATCTATTCTCCCCAGGCCCCAATATTTAAAGTACACATGTAAGGTGTGCTGCACGCAGATTCACGCATGTTTATAGGAGGCTGTGTACACTTCACAAACATATGCCATCCCCCAAGCCAGAGAGAAAGCATCTCCCCTGCTCACCGTGTGTGAACACAGCTCGTGTTCTAATGATAGTAACGTGGGACTTATGCACAGAAGGTATATGGAGTAAGAAAGAGGAACTTCCAAGAGCTGCCATTCAGGGATGATCAAGGATATGCAAGTTCATGTGCCCAACTACCTAAAAATGGGGAACACTGAAGATGCCTCAGCCTACTGGGGGGGTTCCACAGGACTGTGTGCTGTCAGATGTCCTCAGCAGAGCCCTGACATCACAGGCCCTGAGCCTCACCAGCTCCTAGATGGCAGCAATTCCAAAGGGCTGCAGGTGCCTCCAGGGCCTATTGCCAAAGAAAGCACCACTGTGGAGCCCTGTTCTGGCCTGGGCAGGCACTCCGGGCAGACTGGGGAGGGCCTGGGCAGCGCTGCAGCACTCCAGCAGCAGAGGTGCTAGTTTCTAGCTGCCATCCAATCTCTGGGGAAAAAATTCACTTGATTAGATTCATCCTTGGTTTGCCCTCCAGGGATAAAATTAACCCAAGTAACACTGTTCTACAAATCTGCATAAACTATTAAGTATCATGAAAATGTAGTCTGGCTTCATTCCTACAAAACACAATGTTGAAATAAAATCTGAAGCCCAAGAGTATTGTAAAAGAAGCCAGAAAGGGACTCCCAGGTTGCACCAAAGGGTGGATGTGAAATCCCAGCACTGAGCATCGCCCAGCCTGGCTGTCTGCTCACCCTGGGAGAAGCGGAACTGGGGCAGCCCAGCAATGAACTGCTACCGGGTTCTAAAGGTGAAACAGGACACTGGAAACGGGCTATTCATTATCAAAGAACATTGCAGTTGGAAGGGAGGATCCTGTCTATGAGGCTCCACTTAGGAGCGGTGGCACCCAGGGGTGAAGCCCTCCCAGAGAGGGGACAGCACAGCTCTCTCTACGGTAGGGCCCAAGCAGACACTCTCTCCACAGACAGAAAACTCACCAACACTCCTCAAAACTGCTAAAGAAAAGAACCAGAACGAAATATTAGCAGTTAGCAAACACCAAATGCAAAACAAAAAATTAAAAAGCCAAGTTATCTTTTGTCAAAATACCTGAAGTTATTTGTTGGGGCCCCAACCACAGGGCTAATAGAACTTAGGGACCAATGTGCTTTTCAGAAGAGTGCCGCCAGCACCTGCTGCAGCTGGGACGGCGTCCTGCCCGTGAGCAAGTCACATGGGATCCAAAGCAAAGTTCAAATGGAGAGCACCATTTCTATAAGTTGTTTCATCATATCAGTAGGAAATTAAGTAAAAAACTGTATGATATGTCTGAAAAGTGCTACAGAGATGCTGGGGAATAAGCTCTAAAGTTAACATGCAGAGTAGTCAGGCATGAACACCCCAACTTCTTGGGATGGTCATCCAGTGGTGGCCCCTCTTTCTGGTGTCTCCTGTGGGGCCCCCACACCATCCTCAAAGCTCAGGCTCACACCTCCCCACAGCCCCATGCTATGGACTGACGGACACATGCTCCCTGCTGGCTGTGCAGAGCTGTGGCAGGAGCGGGAAAGCTTCCTCTTCATAGTGATTCTCAGAGGACCTGGAGTCAGACTACATGGCTACCTGGTTTGTCTGCGCAGGGAAGAGCCCTTGGCAGAATGAATCAAGGTCAAGGAGGCTGCCTGGGAGCCTCCCAGATAATGCTCTCCAGCCTGAAGGCTAAAATCCCCCTTCCCAACCACATCCCTTCTTCTTTCCCTCCTCCTACCTCCAGGACTCATTGTGCCCATGTCCAAATGGGGACAGCTCACAGAGCACTTCTCTACCTGCCTGCTCACCCCTCCAGACCACCCCACAGTTGGGGGCACTCCTAACTGCATCCCTGATCCCCTCAGCCCTCTGATCAGCCAATGTACCTGACCTTTCATCCCATCCCTGATCCAGACTGCAGTCAATTTTCTCAAGTCTGGCTTCTGGCCTCAGCACACAAGCCAGGCAACAGCCCATTGGCTCCCCGGCACACACCACGGCTTCCTCCTAACCACCGTGTCCAAGGCTCTGGGAGCTCCCTGGACCTTTGCGCCATGTCCCCCAACACTGCCCCATTCTCAGTAGTTAAGTCTGACTCTTTCTACCCCACATGATGTACAGGCTGTTCCATCACACCTTTGGCTTTTTCCTGCCTGCCTTAAAAATCTCTCTGCAGCCCCATCTTCTTCTCATGTCCCCTGTAGGATTAGCGGCCTGGTCCTATTTCTTTCCATCCTCTCTAGAACCTGGTCCATCAATGTTCTCTTCTGTCTTTGCTTTCATCTTTCCTATCAGCCTCAACACATGCTCAAGTCAGAATCATTCTCCCAAACTGAGGCCTTCATGCTCCTTCCTGTTTCACGTTCCAAGGATCTGACAGGATCATCTACACTCGTAACCTCCAATTCTTCACTCGCATCTCTCGATCTCTCTAAATCCTGACAGGTACATTCTGGAAGATTACCAGTGCCTCCCGTGAGTCCAGTACAACGGCCTGGATTTGTGGCTCTCTCGCCATCACCCCTGCCAGGCCCTCCATAGCACCCTCTGCATGCTCGGGTACAAGCACAGCCCTGCTCAGGTGGGACTTGGAGCCCCTCACAGCCAGGCCTAGATCTGTCAGCCCTGCATCCCTGGGCACCAGCACATGGCCCTGCCAGCAAGGCCAGCTCTTACTCTCAGCTCCTCTCCTGGAGGCACGGTGCCTCCCATCACACCTCACAGCTCACTCTGCACCGCTTTCCCCACCCTGTCTACCTGGCAATTTCCTGAGCCCCTGAACCTTTGTAAAGCTGTTGTTTACCACTGCAGTCCTTTTGGAAAGGAAACAATCTCTCTCAGGCCACATTTTGTCATGACCCAGTGACTGGCCAGGGACACTAAATCCAGAGAAGAGTCCAGAGGGCAGCTGCCCACAGCACTACTTTCAAGGTGGATTTCAATTTGCTGCTCATTTTGCAGGGTCTGGACCACTAACAAGATGCCCCCATCAGCACCCAGCTCATTTGCGCACACAGGGAAGCATGGGGTCCATTAGGCAGCTCCTCCCGCCACGCAAAAGCAGATCAGAAGGCTGCATGTTTTTGCAGTAATATTTTGATTAACTTAACAGCACCAGACAGCTGCATAAGGACCACAAACACCCTCCAAGTACTTACTGCTTCTTGGTCTCTTCAAATTTGTGCAGCTTTTTGCGGAGACCTCCTGACTTAAAACCTTGGCAGTGTGCTGCTGGCGCTCCGATGGTGACGATGTCATAGTTCTGATCTGAATGACAGAAAGCTCTCCTCCATTACTCTGTGCTCAGGCCTGTGGACAAGCCAGCTACACGGGTATGTGCACAACTTTGGGACCCTGCTCCTCTGGCCTGTTTCCAAGCAGCCTGTGGTTCCCTTAGTCCCACAGCCTGGGCTGTCCGAGGGCCTCTGAAGCCCAGCATGAGCTAAGAGGAGGTTCTATGTATCTCAAGGTAGAGCCACGCAAGGCTGGAGGAAACTATCCAACACTCAGCTTGCATCCCTCCTTCAGCAACTGTCTGCCACAGAGACACAAAGGGAGCTGGAAAGAGGAGAAGCAGAGGGGTCTGAGCTCTTTAACAAAGCTCTTGCAGAGATCCTTGTAACATGTCTCTCTTGCCCAGTAGGAGAAAATACAGGAAGGCTGGTGCAGCTGTGGGGCAGCTCAGGGACCAAGTACATGGGGAAAGAAGTGAAAGGCAATTTGGGGAGAGAGGAAGAGAAATGGTTACCTGATCCTCCATCATCTTGAACTCTCATCCTTTGTATATGCAAGTTTGTGGGAACAAATTCTAACTTTTTCTCTGCTTTCAAACTGCTTGCTTTAAATGAGGGACCTACAAAATGGGATATGAGAAAACAAAGATCATCAATATGTCCCCTGCATTCATGAATGGCAAGGAGAGAAATGGTATTCTGAGGGCACCACTGCAGATAAGCAGTGATGTGCTGTCAATGACCTAGGAAATCCTGAGCACATTTCACTTCCAGGGAGCAGCTGGGCCAAACATGGGAGGGAGGGCAGCTGGCTGGCCAGAAGCCTGGTTCTGGGTGCTCAGCAGTGACTGGAGGCAAGCAGAACCAGCTTTAGAAGGCTATGGTAGTGATGCCATGCCTTCCCATGACTCAGCTCTCAACCGAGAGGTCTGACACGAAGACGCGACTTTGTGCAACAAGATGTCAGCACCACCATAAAAAGCAACGGGCCCACGCTGGGAACTGCCTGTTCCAAGTCTGGAGGCTGCCATCACCCAAGAGCGAAGAAACTGGCTTGTCTAGAACAACACATCCCAATTCTGAAAACTGAGGAAAAGGTTGGCTCATCACACTGGTCCACCGAGTCAAACAGATGCTCCAACACATACCTGAACTTGTTCCCTTGTTTACACTCAGTGGTTAAGGAGGTTGAGTGATGTTTTGTAACTAACATCCACAACCTTATTTCTATACTCAGAATCTTTAATTAAGAACCACATGCCTAGAAAAGAAAGGGGTTGCAATTAAACTGGCAATCAGAAGAGTAGAAGAAATAGACATACCATCTAGCGAAAAAGGTAAATCTAATTTGCTAGTATCCAAAACGCAGAGCAGCCACTGTCTGGCTTGCTTTTGTCACAGGAGATTGTTCTCTAGAACCAACTGATCCTTGGGTGGCTCTCGGGACAGCAGCTCCAGCATTCTGGGAGCCAAATCTGTATTTCTGTAAGACCCTCAGGGCACATGCATTCAGCATGGGCATGTCCCTAAGTTCCTTCAGCCAAATGCTGCCATTTCTCTGAGAAGTGCATTTAGACCTGCTTTTCAGATTTAACCCAAGCCCAGGGGCCATCATCTTGTATTGTGTCACTCCTGTACCTGGCAGCTTCTCAGCCAAGTTCATGGACAGGTTCATATGTTCAATGTCAAAACCACATGAAGGACTTATGATTTTCCTTAAAGCCTGAAATTCCATTATGTAGAGGGGAAGGAGGAAAGAATCTAAAAATAGAGACTAAAGTAATGAAAAACCAAAAACATCATTCCATTTGGAGTGAAAAGGCTTGAGTTAAGAACAGTCTTCTAAATCTGCCCTGAGTGTTTTGAAAATCAAATGGCATCTTTCAAGAACAGAAGGCAAGGTACCTGTACTTCTCTCTCTCTTGGGCCTTAAAAATGGAGAGTTCCACTCAGAGAATATGATCAATACAAGTACCACTGACTATGTAAGCTGGGAAATCTAGAAAACCACTTTGTCTCAAGGCAAACAATCTGCATTCTTTTGGGCATTTCACTGCAATTAGACCAAGGTCAAGGGATGCCACTAGCCCAATAGCCTGTGACTTTGTCTCTCCCAAATCTCAGACCCCAGGAGTTACTTTGACAGATGACACCAGAGAAGAAATGTTCAATGCAATTCACAGGTTTGTCTTCTTAATTAAGACCTGAAAAGCCTGTATTTGAAAGAATTCACACCTACACAAGAATCTATTTTTAAAAATTCATTAGAGTGTCTGCCAGTGAGGATGTATGAGTGACCTTAGGTTCCATATTCCTAGCCAGAGAAATGGGGGGTACACAGGCCATGAGGAGGGTGCGACCCACACCCACCTTTGTACTGATGGAGGTTGGTCAGGTTCTCCTGGTATGTGAGGATGATGGTCTGGTACTGAGTGACAATCTGGCGCCGGAGGCTCTCCCAGCAAGGGGACAGATCCCCCAATTCTTCCAGTTCACACACTCTACAAGCAAGACACACACACGTCAGGCCATGGATCCGGCTCACTCGCCTAGAGAGGCATGGGGTCCTAACAATCAGGAGAACAACATACAGGGGAAAACCACTGATGCCCAGGGAAGGCCTGGCACAACGGCCACACTGCAGGTCTAGAGGGCAAGCGGCAGGGCAGCAAGACAGACCTCTCCAGGAAGAACGGCTGTACAAAAGGTGAGCCACTGTCCACGTAGGAAAGGGCACAGAGAGGCTTCTTACAGAAGCTTAGTCAAATGAGGAAAACTAAGCGGAGGAGGGGAGGAGAGAGAGGCCACCAGGGAGCAGTGCCCCACCTTGCCCGTGGCTGCAGGGGTGAAGGTCTGGACTGCAGTCCTTCAGAGTCTGAATGAGAATGATGTGTGGGGCTCAGGGAGCCCGAGAGGCCCGGAGGCCTGTAAGCAACTGCTAGGAGGCTGTGTCCCACTCACTTCCCACCTCCCCTGGGGCTGCCACAGGCAGCTTCTAACTGCCTCCAGGTTCTGAGCAGGTGAGGGAGCTTCCACCTTCCCCCTGAGAACAGAACTGCAGCTCACAAAGCTGCTCAGCCACAGTCCACAGCTGGCTGCTCAGCAGAGGGGTGGCCCCTTTAGTGCCCATGTCACCCTTCTGGGTATGGGACAAGGGCTCGGAGGCTGGCAACTGTGGCCATGCTTCCTTTCGTTGACCATGTAAGTGATGAACTGCCTAAATCTACAGGGGGCACAGGGGCAGGGTAAGGGAGAAGGGAGAAGCGAAAGAGGAGGAGAAAAAGGAGGATTTGCTACTCTCAGAAAAACAGAAGTGTGTCAGAATTGAGTATGAACATCTTAGCTCAGTAGCAAATAGCATAGTTCATAATCAGATAATGAAAACACAGGACAGATTAATAGGATAGCCGTATTAGGAGCCATATTAGGAAACTGGGGAAAGAGAACATACAAAAGACTAAAATCTTCATCATAGGAAGTCAGTAGCTAATCCCTGAAACTGGTTAATTATAAGAATTTAGAAATACAGCAGTAAACACTAAAGCAGCAAAAAGTGGTTATTACTGGGAAGTAGATCAGAAAGCCAGGGTCCAAGATTTATGCTTTTGTTAAAAGCTTTTTGGCACTATTTGGTTTCTTATAGGATGTATGGTTTACTTTCCAAAATAAAAAGCTAATTTTAAAGCTAACTTTAAAAAAAAATCTAAATTGTCTGAAGTTTTAAAAAAAAGAACAACTACCATTTTATTACTATTAAATTAGCAAAATGCAAACAAAAGAACACCCAGTGCAAGCAAGGCTATGGTGGCACCATGTCCTGGTTCCCTGCTAGCCAGAGGGCCCCCGTCTGCCCTGGCTGCTCCTGGCCCCTCTCTCTGGGGTCTTTGCCTGTCTCATGTGACACCTTTGGGGGTCAGCTTCTCACCGAGGCCTGCCGGACCACCCTCCTTCTCCCAGCCCCCTCCGCACACCTGGGGCTGTCAGGCACAGCCTCCCATCCCATGATCCGCCCTACTTGTCAAGATGTGTCCCACACTGAGCACAGTGCCAGCCGCACGGTTGGTGCAGAAACCACCTCCACCACCCTGGATACCAAGATGTTAAGTGAATGAACTCTTCAAAGTTACTGTACACCAAGTAATGGGAAATGTTATGCCATAGTTGAAAATTATAACATGAAAACTGCAGATCCATGGAAAAGTAGATGGTAGCTATGAAAATATATATAAACATGGAAGACTGAAAGGAGAACTTTAAAAATTAAAATAACTGTAAAATACGTACATGTAGAGATAAAGCAGCTCATTGCATCATTCTTGCCATGTTTTCTCTAAGTCTGAACTTTTTTCAAGATGAAAAATTAAAGCAAAATAGCTGTATTAAAACAGTAGGATTCTGACTGCACTGTTTCCCTTCATGTTTGTTTATAATTAACATCATTTTATGACAAGTGGAAACGGCCTCAGGAGGCCAGCAGACAGTCTGCGGTGTCAGAACTACCTCGCAGGCTCCTCCCCATCTTAGGACCAATTAACACTGCCTGGCTGAGGCTCCAGGGACCAGTGGGCCCCACACTTGGCCTCTGGAGCCCATATCACTGTGGCCCTACCCTAGAAAACTACTGGCTCACGCAGCCATAGCTGAAGTATGACCGCTATTTCTAACTTTCTGAGAGCCAAATGAGAGGGGAAGGAGAAGGGAGGGAAGGACACGCGCACTGAGTGCTGGGCACATGTCTGGTGCCTCCGGCATGTTGTCTCATGTAGGGCTTGCCCAGGAATTGGGGGATCTGGAAGAGCAAATGGAGGCCATGGCAAAACCACGAAGCAGAGCAGGCCACACCAGTGGGCAGGTTTGGAGTCTGGGTTATCTTGTGCTGGTGCTCTACCCACCCCACCCAAGAGCTTTCCAGAAAGGACAGGACAAGTGATGTGGGCCTGCTGGGTGGCTGGCCTCACCTGGCCGCATCTTCCTCTAGCAGGAGCTTCACGAACTGCCGGGGCACGTGCAGGGAGAGCACGCTCTCGGCCATCTGCTCCAGAATCCGCAGGTGGTTGCCGTCGGTGGTCGGGAACCGGTACATGCGGCAGATGGCACCACCAAACACTGAGATGGGTTGGAGGGACAGAGGCTGTGTGTGAGCTGGCTGCAGCTGCCATGTGGATCCTCCTCTGCAGGCCCTCAGCAGTGCTGACACCCCCAAGTTGTCTTACTGTCCATCTCAACGGAATTAGAACATTTAAACAAAGAACCCACCAAGTAACGAGACTGAATGCTCCTCCCCTGGGACATGCAGCCACCTTGTCCCAGGCCATGTGACTGACCCTGAGTGCCAGAAACGGCATGGGGAGGCTGTCAGCCACCCAGCCCAATGGCATGAGACACAGTGAGACAGGGAGAAGCCTCCTTCCTAGGAACAGTACTCTTTCTATGCTGGCAAAAGATGGGCACGTTGATATGCAGTAGAGAGGTGACAATCAGATCGGGAGGGGAGGAAGGGTGACCCTGGGCTTGAGTGGACACTCACAGGAAGGACACGAGTACCAATAGAGGAAGCTATTTACCAGATTTCAGTAAAGTGTCTTTTCTCAATGAAGCATATTTGGATCGGATTCCCAATGCCTCCGTCAAGCTCTCATCCACGGGCAGAACCATCTAATAACATGCACAGCAAAGCACAAGAAAACTGTGAGACACAGACAACCCCAGGGCACTTGGCAGAAACAGGAGCCGTGGTAAAGAAGAACTCAATACACTAGTAATTCTACCATAAACACACTGCCCAAGCCACAGACAAATCAATTCCCTCCCAGGATACTGAACTCGTTCCAGGCACACAATCTCTGGAGATGCATGTCCTCTGGCCAGGTCTCTGCACCTTGTACTCCAGTGTCTGATGTGTACAATGAATGGGAGGCAAGGGTGATGTCCAGGAATATTTCTAGAGCTAACATTCTGGGCTATTTTGGGTAAAAGGAGGTATGTCTGTATTTTACAACAATGACTACTTACCAGAGTGTGGGCTCTTAAATTAGGATTCTAGTGTGAGAGCACAAGAGTGGGGGTGGGCATGCGGGTGTGAGGTGGGCACGGGTATGTCTGGGAGAGGAAGACATTGACAAAATATCAAAGAGAATCGGGGTCTATTCCATACTGCACAAGCCACCTCTCCCCTCCTGCAACTCCTCCAGCCAGGCTGCCCCACACACTCTGCCCACTCTCTGGAGGTGGCCGGTGTGGCCCAAGCAGAGATGAGCTTCATGGTGGCAGAGCCTCACAGGCCATGCTGAGGCCCCCTTGTCTCTGCTTTAAGAAGTGCCTTTAAGAAGCGACTGGCACAGCCTGTGGGGCAGCAGCAGGCAGCAGGCCTGCCTGGGCATCTGGGCAGGTCCTCTCACTCCAAACTGAGAGGAGGAAAGTAGTGCATTCACCCTCCCATTGACGGTGTCCAGAGACCGGGTCACGGGGGGCCGCTGGTCTGACTTCTCCTCCATCTGCCAGCCGATTACTGTGATGTTACCCACACGGTCACTCTCTGCAGACCTGCAATGAGCAACATGCTCTGGTGAGCAGTGTTTTGACTGTGGTGCATTTTCTGCTTAAATGCAAAGCCCAGCCATCCTGGGCCATGGAGGGATCCTCGTCAATCAGCCAGCATTCGCTGCATGCACAGGCTCTGGGCGACAAGGAAGCCATGGGGCAGGGAGGAAGGCTGCACCTTAGAGGGAACAAAGCACCACAGAGCAGTGTGGATGTGCCTGATGAAGTCAGAGGGGATGGCTCAATGCTGGCATGGGAGGTGCCCATCAGCCCCTGGGCCCACCCCTGCCCCAGAGAGACATGGGGACACTTGGAAGAACCAGGACTGGAGAGCACTTTCTTCTGCCACTTGACTCCTTTTCTCCTTCCCACCCCACTCTCAAGCTTTGATTAGCCCCAAGGCCTAGGCCTGGACCCAAGTAAACGGAGGCCACCCAGGGGTTCCCAAAGCCTCTGTATCCTGATCTGACACAGCTGATGCCACTTAAACATGGAAGTTCCACCTGAGGCCCCTCAGGGTGGCTGCCAGCTGCCCAGGCCACTATGACCCAACCGTGGAGCCCCAGGGATACCCCAAAATCTCAGGCTTATTATTTGTCTGCCTCAGTCAGGTTCTAAATTTTTATGTGCTCACATTCACTGCCCATTTCCTTGGTGACTTTCTCTCTCTGTTCTCATACTGGAAAGCCCTGCCCAGTGCTATCTGTTCAACAGTCCTCTTTAGCTCCTTTTCAAAAGGATGACATCCATTTCTCACATGTCACTCTAATTCTGGCCCATGACACTCCTGAACACTCCTCTCCCACATGGCCCTACGACTCTCCCCTCGTCCGGAGTCAGGCTCTACTACATGCCAAGGACTGTCGCCAGGCTCACCCTGTCCAGTGCCTGCCACACGGTCATCACCACAGCTGTGGAATGCTGTACACCTGGCAGGGAATAACTCACTAAAAGTTTCTTTTCCATTTTCGACTACTTCCCCAATTTTAACATTACTTTGAAAAGAAGAACACCATGCCAGGGTTTGGGTAGGAATCGCCACTAAAATGAATTTGGGAAGGGTTGACACTTGACATCTTTATCTTCCTTCCCAGGACACAGTGGGGAGGTCCCCTTTCCTTCCTCCCTCTCTCCCTTTCACAGATATTTATTGAGAACCAGGCATTGTTATAGGAGCTTGGGATACAGCAATGAAGATAAAATGGAGAGAATGTCTGCTCCGTGGGAGACTGCTTTCTGCTGGGGAGGGGACAAATAAGAGGCAATACAGTCCGTGTCACCACACGTGGCTCTAGGTTTCCCCTTAAGTCTGAGTACAGCTGTGTCCGAATTTCTATGGGCGTCGCACATCTCCATTCCTGATAGTGGAGTGATAGGATGAGTTGTTTACCTTGCCTCAGGGGGCAGCCACCCCCTACCTTAGACCAGCCTCTGGGAGGGGGCAGGGTGTTCTTTCTGTACAGAACATGGGGCCTTTCCCCATCTGTCCCTGGACCTCATAATTCTAGATCTCTTCAAAGGAACAAAATTAAGTACCAACCTTAGTGTTAAATGCAACCTGTGATGCCTGTCCTGGAGCAGATCTTTGACAATGAATGTTCCAGAGCCCAGTAAGTACATCTGAGGAAAGAGCAGGAAGAACACTTTAGTGTGTGTGCTTTGCCTCCAGTCCAATTACCAGGGGAGTCCAGCTGGCTGGTTCCCACGACACATCAGGCCCTCATCTCAGGAGGCCAATAGGAATGCTCAGAAAGAAATTCCCCAGCACAAATACACCTGGGCATCAATTCATTTGTGAGCCAGTAGTGAAGTTAATCTGTGTTCACCTCTCTCTCAAATGATTACAGAACTTTTAAAAAACTAAAAAAAATCCCATGAACCACAACATGTTACTTAACTGTTCCCTGAGATCTATCTTTAACATCATATACGGAGAGTTTGATCTGTGTCATCTGATTAATAAGGGAGTCTTGAAAGAAGGCAATACTGCTTAGAAATATAGGATTGTTGGTTCCCTAGAATAGAAAAGAAAACAATCAGAATACGGAGTTGGAATTTTTTAAGTAACACCAACATTTTTGGAATAAGAAATTAACATTCTTACCAACTTGGACCAACATCAACAGCTAATGGATATATACAACCACAAAACTTTCCAGAAAGGACAAAGTAGTCTGACAGACTTTACAGATCCAGACACAACAAATGTGCCCATCACACAAGCTGTGCCCAAGGGCTCAGGAGGAATTTTCTAGAATTGGGGCGAGTTGAATGTCCACGTGTATTCTTAGTCTCAAGACTTTAGATGAGTTAGGTTTGGATCTACTGCTTTGGGTTGTTCCTGTAAGATGTACAAAGGTACATGAAGGAGGAAATAAATGGCTTACGTTGTTTCTTATTTCTAGAATCCTATAGTTTGGAATAATTAAGGCCTGACTGTTTTAAGACTATCCTTCTCAAAGGACTAGCTGCTGGCTGGTAGATCATAAGTGGCTATTTCCTGGCAGCTTAGCCCTGCCCCGCAAAGCCCCATCATATCATAGTCTCTTTCTCAAGCAGTGTTAACTACTTCTGCCACACGGTTAGCAGTCCCTGCTGTGGGGTCTATGCCTCTGGCTATGTTCTCCTGCAGCCCCCAATTCAACGTCTTGGCATCTGCTGGGCAACCAGCTGCTCCTGGGTGGCCTGGTAGGGCCACAGCGCACCCAACCTCTCCCTGCATCTGCCTTGGTTATTAAAGCCATCTCTGACCCTCTTTCCAAAGAAGCTAAAACCTGGGTGCCTTCTCTGGTGCCTCTTTCTCCATCATTCTTAACCTCGCCGTGATGATGAGCTCCTTCCATGAATCCCACCACCAGGCCCCCCCGCATATACCCCATTTTTCCACTTCTTCCCACCACCAGTCAGGTCTTACATCATTGCCCCAAACAACTGCCTGAGTTCGGATCTCCATGAACCCATCTGGTCAGTTGACCCCCTGCTTAGAAGCCTCAATGGGCCTGCTATAAACTCCATCCAAGGCCTCCTTCCCTCACTCTCCTGTATGTGCCCTTTGCACACACCGAACAGGATAAAGCTATTCTCCAAACCCAATGGCACTTTCCTGTTGCTGTCCTCTGCATACTACCACAGAACCCTGGCATGCTCTTCAACATGTGGGCCGCAGACTGGGCATCACCTGGGAGCTTGTGAGCAAAGCAGTCTTGGGCTCTACCCCAGACCTATTAAGTCAGAATTTCACTAAGCACCACTCTAGGAAGCCTCCTCCAATCCTCAGAGCTGGATCGGACCCATCCTCCTGGTGCTGCCCTCCTCTCTCTAACACCTCCTACGTTGCACCCTGCATAGATGTGGCCACATTCATTTCTGCCTCCACAGCCACAGACAGTGACTCCTTAGGGCAGGGGCTGGGCCTCCATGGTGTATCATCACAGCGCCCAGCACTGTGCTCTGGGTAGGCAGTGCTTAGCAAATACCTAGGCAATAGAATTGTTGACTCGAACTTGGAAATCAGTTCCCAAGAGAATGAAAAAGGATGGTCCCCTTTCCAAAATGTAAAATGGGGTGAGAGGAGGAAATAGTTTAAGTTGGTTTGAGACTGGTCAGGAGGGGAGAACTCACAAAGAGCTTACACCACAAACAAAATCCTGCAATCTCATACCAGCAATGCCTAACTTACACAATGTGCTCAATTACCTAAAAGGATTTTGTAAAAGTCATTTGATTTACTGTAAAAAGGAAACATGTAACATACAACCTGAAAGGAGATAGAAATAAAAACCAATAAAAATAGGGATATATTCAGCAAGAGGGCTGATTAATAGTTACCTCTCTCCAAACCTTGGTTAATGAGCACAGTTCTCCAAAAGTAGCAGCCAGTTAGAAGCAACAAGGAAGAATTAGATCTTCCCTCTTAAAAGGCAATCAAACTTATATAGCGTCATTGTTCAAAAATAACCAACCAATAGTTAACCAATCATTGTAAAGGATATGGCAAACATAAATGTCACCCAGATGAGTGTGATGAAAAATCTCAATGTGCTTAAAACCCATGGAAAATAGCAACAAATCACATTAAGTATAACTGCAGCTGCAGGTGCACAGGTGACGGAACAGCCGCCCTCCTCAGGGGGTGAGCCTATCACGGAGCTCCGGAAGGGCCAGCACCCACCTCGATGATCTCCGTCTGTGCATGCTTCGTCCAGAATGCCTGAGGAGGGGTGGTGACACTCACTGCTACAAAACTATTTGGTTTTCGATCTAGCGATGGAGTATGCAGCTCACTGCAAGCTGTAGAATCAAGATGGGTGAGAAATGAATCCTTTAAAATCAAGGCTCCAGGTAAGTCTCCATTTCAAACACACCCAAAGCAAGCAAAAAATGTAAATGACGCCTTGGTTACACTGTCAGCTGTCACAGGGAGGTGATTTTTTTAAATGGAAACGGTCTCATTTCACTCCTCCCCCTCCCCCCACCCACAAGACAGCAAGGCCACAACTGCCAGGGGAAGGCTGAGCCGAAGGGGCTTTCGTGTCCAGGGAATGGAGCACAAAGGCAACAGTCCCATAAGGGATCTGACCCATAAAGTTTAACCTTAGTAATTAACTGAACTTGTAAACAATTGAGCTAAGCAGTCACAGAGTCTATAAAACCAAGACACAGCTACACATGCCTATATCCCATGACTAGAAAGCTTATGGTACCCCGCAGATCTCTGCAGATGTATGCTGGAAGCAAACTGAAATTCTAAGGCAAAATAAAGCTTTTGTAAAAAAGGAAGTCATCGCTTATCCCCTTATAAGACTCCTATCAAATGTAAGATTACTAAAAAGGCTCCTTTTCAGAACTCTAGGTACCTGCTAAACTGTTTCAGTTAGGAAAATTTTTGTACTAAAGCATTTTGAAACAGATTATAGAACTCCGATTCCAATTCTTACATACAAGTGACCCAGAGGAAAAATGATATTTTATTGAATCTAACATGCTAACTGTTGCAAAAGGTATTATAAAAGCAAAAAAGACGGACTGTCATTAGACTATGATATGCTATTGATCAGAAGACACTTTCTGACCAAAGAGATATTAAAACATGAAAAAAATATGCACCTTGGAAGCATGAAATATATGGTAACATCAAAGTTCAACACTGGCTGAAACAGCTAGCTTTTTTGGAGGAGCAGTAACACTCCCCAGACTGCTGCAAGCCTGGGGTGAACTTCCAGAGTCCTGAAACTATTGATCTGGACCATTTTTGCCAGGGTTGTCATCACCTTTGCGGAGGAAAGGATTCTGGAGGTCCTCACTCTGTCCTTCCTGCCTCATCATTCACATTTGATTTTTAAAATGCTCACTGGGGACTTAAATTTTAGAAATTGATTTTTACTTCTGAAAATAAAATTTGGTTATCTGATTATAATTTTCATTATTTATTGGATATCATAAGATACAGAGAGCTAAGGTTTTCAATTCAATGAGTTTTGACAGTAACTATCATCAAACATGATAGAGAACTTTTTCTATCAGACAAGAAATTTCCCACTATTTTCAAGTTAATCCCTCCACATCTGCCACCACTTTGATTTCCACCACTTCTGTCTGTTCTTGAAATTCACATAAATGATGTTTTTGAGATTCATCTATATTGTTACATGTATTGATAATTTATTCTTTTTTTTAATTGATGTGTTATAGTCCACTATATGAAGGAACCAAAACTTACTTAACCATTCTATTAATGGACATTTGGGCTGTTTCCAGTTTTGAATTATCATAAATAAATGTGCTACAGACATTCTTTTTCATGTCTTTTTGTGAACATATGTTTTCATTTCTTTTGCATAAACATCTAAGAGTGAAATTTCTAGGCAACAGTGGAGAACATAGTTTTCTAAAGTGGTTTTAACATTTTACAGTCCCATCAGCAATGTACATGAGTTCCAGTTGCTCTGCATCCCCACCAACATTTGGTGGGGTTAGTCTTTACTTCAGTTGTTCTAACAGATGTGTTTTAACTTATACTTCTGTGTGACTGATCTAAGCATCTTTTTACCATGGGCTTATTGCTTATTTTTATAACTTCTTTTGCCAAGAGTCTGCTTGAGTTTTTTGCTTATTTTTTAACTGAACTGTCGACTTTTCATTGTTGATTTGTAAGCATTTTATTCTGGATCTGTCCTTTGTCAGGTATGTGTGTTGTGAATATTTTTTTCCCAGTCTATGGTTAATCTATTCATTTTCTTAAAGAGATTTTTGTTTCAGATTTTTAATTTTAGAGAGTGGTAGGCAGAAAAAAATGTCTCTCCCCCCAAAAAATTATCCACATCCTAATTACTGGTACTGTGGGTGTACTGCATTACAGGCAAAAAGATTTTATAGATGTGATTAAGGTCATGGAATCCTGACAGGGGAAATGATTCTGGGTGGGCTGGCCTAATTACATGAGCCCTTAAAAAGTAGCAAATGAGGATAAAGTGTGAGTCCCAAAGATGTGACAATGTAAAAAGAGGCAGGGAGGTTTCAAAGCATCAAGGGCACTCAACCTGCCATTGCTGGCTTTGAAGATGCCAGAAGGGGGCCACAAACCAAAGAATATGAGGGGTTTTTCTAAGCTGAGAACCAGCCTCAACTGGTAGCTAGCAAAGAAATGGAGCCTTCAGTCCTACAACTACAAGGAACTTAATTCTGCCAATAATCTGAATGAGCAAGGAAACAGTTTCTCCTCTAGAGTCCCCAGAAAGGAATGCAGCCCTGCTGCTACTTTGATTTTAGTGTGTAGGACTCTAAACAGAGATCCACCTGAGTCCACTGGATTTGTGACCAAGGAAACTTTAAGATAATACATTTGTGTTGTTTTAAGGTACTAACGTGTGGTAATTTGTTATGACAGCAGGTAGCAAACTAATGCATAGAGTTAGTGGGGTTTTTGTTCTTTCCAAGAAATCTTTGCTTACCCTGAGGTTCTGAGTTATCCTTTGATTTTTTCCAGAAGCTTTAAAGTTGTATTATTTTTTAAAGTTCTCTTCTATTATTTCTACTGGGTTTGCCTCAACAGGAATCATGAATTCAACTGTTCAGCTGATCCACTTGCTCTCCCTCCTTTAAGTTATGCCCGCAAGTGAGCCATAGTCTAGTCTTTCCCAACCTGACCTTTCATCAGATGTGGGTTATTAACATCCATGCAAGGTTGGACCTTTGGGTCTTTCAAGCACCAGTGATGGCAGACAGATAGATAACCAGTGGCCAAAGGTTGGGAAGACTGATACCAGTTTCAGGGCTGATGGGTCAAATGCTGCCTTCAGAACACACCTTCCTTCCTATACATGCATGACATTCTCTCCTGGCCTCACCCACCAAGCAGCCTATCTAATCTGGCCTAGTGGTTATTTCCTAGCTTAAGTACCACAGCTTTCATGAAGCTTTCTCTCAGTAGCCCACAGGAAGAAGTTCACATCTCCTATTGATTATTGCTTATATCACTCCTTTGGCATATTTCCATAGAAACCATTAATCACTAAATGTATGCCTTGTCTCTGCAACAGACCATCTGCAATCCCAGGTGAATAAATGTTGTGAGGTAACCTGGTAAAATTTATTTCAACTGCATATCATTCGACTCAGCAATTCTATATTAAAAAGTTTATCCCAAGAAAGTAATGTGCAAAATGTATGAAAGATCTATGCATGAGTATGCTCACTACAGTGGTGTTTATAATGGCAAATTGGAACAAAGATAAATGTCTAACAATAGGAGACTGGTTAAAATAAACTGGCACAGCCACACAGTAGACTCTATATAGGTGCTCAAAACAAGGAGACGGACCACATGTTTATTAAAATGAAAAGACTCCAGTGATACTTTGCTCAGGAAAAAACCATATTAAGAATACTATGGTAGGAGAAGGATTAAAGAGAGTGGAATGAGAGGTGAGACAGAGGCTTCCTCCTAAAACCGCATGTAATATGAAAATATAATTAATACAACTAATCCTGAAAGAGCAACAGGAAAGAGGACTGCACCAAACTGCATACACCTTGAGAAAAGAATAAACCTCATGGAACAGGGTAACATACCAAGATCATGGCCCGACCCCAGCTCACCAGTGGGAGGTAGAGTAACAGAGCAGAGAGGGAGTGGAGGCCTGGGACTGCTGAACACCTAACTCTGGAGATCTGCTCTGGGAGCACAAACCTACATTTCATGGTGCTTGCATGGTACCCTCGTGATTAGGGGGTCGGAAAGCTAAGACAGGCAGAATACCTGGAGAGACGGAGGTTCCAGCTGCTTGTGGAAAGCAGAGATCCATATACGGTTGCTCTGGGACAAAAGAAAGGCGGGCAGTCTGAGAGACTTCCTAACAGTGAGAGGGCTGCTAGAGGGGCAAGGATGGCACAGAGCTTACTGCTCAGGAGAAAGGACGGGTAGACAAAATTTTCCAGGTGCACTCTACCCAGCAGGTTGGGAGCTTTCACGATCTCCAGATGCTCCAGCTCCCTGGCTGGCTAAACAGCTCCAAGGACCCCCTCCGTGATAGGCAGCCTAATGCGACTTTCTCCTGACCAGTCCCAACTGGCTCGCAAACAAGCAAACCCTACCCTGGCTTTAGACCAGCCAAAAGGAAGACCTGTCTACAGCAAATACAAACACAAACCATAGAGGCTTATACCTCTGTGCTCAGCCCACTGGTTAAGGCAGCGGAGTCAGGCACAGCAGCCGGGAAGCAGGAAACAGCTCTTCCCTCCCCCCAGGCACCAATAACACTCCCCTGTGACCCCCGACATTGCTTCAGGGACTGAGCAGCACCAGAGAGTAGAGCCTCTGGGCACTAGAAGGTGCCATGTACAAATACAAAATTCCAAAGGAACATGGTTCAAAGTAAAATTATGAATACAACTCCTGACAAAGATTTAAATGACATCAACCTCATGAATCTTCCTGACAAGGAGTTCAAAATAAAAATCATTAACATGCTAATGGAGATACGGAAAGATATTCAAGAACTCAGGAATGAATTCCGGTTGGAGATCCAATCATTCAAGAGCACAATGGAGGGTATTAAAAGCAGATTAGATACAGTGGAGGAGACGATAAATGAAATAGAAACTAGAGAAGAGGAATACAAAGAAGCTGATGCACAGAGAGAAAAAAAGGATCTCTAAGAATAAAAGAATATTGAGAGAACTGTGGGACCAATCCAAACAGAACAATATTCACATTACAGGGGTACCAGAAGAAGAAGAGAGAGAAAAAGGGATAGAAAGTGTCTTTGAGGAGATAACTGCTGAAAACTTCC